GGTGCATTCATTCAATCCTGGCACTCAGGTGGCAGAGACATATGGATCTCTGGGAGTTCGAGGCCAGCCTGATCTACAGAGCTAGTTCTAAGACAACCTGGGCTACACAGAGAAACCCTGTCTCAAACAGAGAAAGAAAGAAGCATAAAAACACAAATTAAAGACATTCTCCCCTCCCTCTCCTCTGCCCAGTCTCCCTTCTCCTGAACACCACTGCTCCTTCCTTTCCCTTTTGGAGAAAACACGTCTCCCAGTAATAATACCGAACACTGCATAACAAAATGCAATATGACTAGGCAAAACCTCTCATATCAAGGCTAGACATGGCATCCAGTAGGAGGAAAAGGGTCCCAAGAGCAGGCAAAAGAGTCACACACACACACACACACACACACACCACTCCCACTGTTAGGAGTCCATCAAAAACCCCAAGCTAAACCACTACAGCATGTATGCAGAGGGTCTAGCACAGACCCATGCAGACTCCATGATTGTCGCTTCAGTTTCTGTGAGCCCCACGGGCCCTGCTTAGGATTCTGTGGGCATTGTGTTCTGTGTCCTGGACCCTTTGCTCCTACCATCCTTCCTCTCCTCAAGGTCAGATTTATCTTGTTGATCCTAGGTAAATATACTCCAAAGAACTTAAGAATTAGGAAAACAGCTTCCTAAAAGATGACATGAAAAACTTACAGGAACATATAAGGAAGAGATAGGACATGAAAGGTCAAACATCTCTCTACTTCAGGACATGAACACTCCAATATTTTTCCAATGTCAAAGTATCAATAAATAAATCTAAAACTCCCAGTTCCCTTAAAAGAAAAGTACATGCAGAAATTGCCAGAAAGAATAAGAAATTTAGCCGGGCAGTGGTAGCGCATGCCTTTAACACCAGCACTCAGGAGGCAGAGGCAGGCGGATCTCTGTGAGTTCGAGACCAGCCTAATCTACAAGAGCTAGTTCCAGGACAGCCTCCAAAACCACAGAGAAACCCTGTCTTGAAAAACAAAAAATAAGAAATTTAGTTCCAATAGGTATTAATCACTACCATTTTGAGAACTTATAAAGAATAGTATTACAACTGTAATCCACATAATAAAGGTGATATATAGATTACTTAGAAACTGGTATACACCTGAAAATGATATCCTAGGGGGTCTGACACCTTCACACCAAAGCACATAAAATAAAGTTAAATGAATTTTAAAAAAACTAATCACAGGGCTTAAATATGTTACTTTGTAACTGCATGTTTTTGCCGGCTAGGGACAACATGAATAAGAGGTACCTGGCTAGATATAAACATTTGGCTATATATAGATATATAGATATAGATACGGGGCAAAGGTTAATGCTGTCACTAAAAGGTTAATGATTCTTGGAAAATGATTAAAGAGAAATTATTTGAAACTGCTCATTCTTGAATGCATTAGAACTTGTCTAAATAAAGACGACCTAGGCCTGGAGAGAGGGCCAAGGGGCTGATCTTCCAGAGGTCCTGAGTTCTATTCCCAGCAACTACATGATGGCTCACAACCATCCATAATGAGATCTGGTGCCCTCTTCTGGCCTGCAGGCATACATGCAACCAGAACACTATATATAACAAAAGTAATCTTAAAGAAGAAAAAGGTGGCCTGAGCTAGTCAGGGTCATCAGTCTGAAAGACTCCTCATTCTTCACTGACTTCACACCTCCATCCTGCTGCACAAGAGCTCGCTGGAGTTGGATGCCGGCAAGGCATCAGTTTTACGTCAGGATTGTTGTCCCAGGCCTGCCACTGGGAGCATAGCGTGCTTACAGAAGATGGCCAGTTCAGGCTCCATCTTCCATTACTAGTCCTCACTAAGGTCACTCTCACAGGATCCAGGAAGTTTCTACTGTAGTATGTGGAAACCTAGTGCACTTTCACTGTTTCTAAAGTCTGTGTTCCAGCAAGCATGGGAGATGCATTTGGCAATACTCCCTACATTGTGAACATACAACAGAAATCAGGAGATCAAGGTCCAAGCAGGATGGAGACGGTGAACAGGAAGAAGCAACCAGAGAGCTGCCTCAGGAGGTGGCCGAGACAGAGGCTGTTTTGGAGTCTGGCTTTCAAATATTAGGCCTACCTCCATACATGAACAGTGAATGGAGCAGGCAGAAGATAATTCCAGAATGACACAGGGCCAGTACAAAGCTTGGACCTGGAAATAGCAAAGGACCCCTGTATGTGCAGGGACCACACAGGGAGCAATGACCTGAGTACCACAAGAATCAGATGTAGGGGCCATGAAGATGGTTCAGTGGTTAAGAGCGTTTACTCCTCCAGCAGAAGACCTGAGCTCTGTTCCCACCATCCAAATTAGGCAGCTCACATGACTCCAGTTCTAGGAGACCCAGCAGCAACTATGGGCATGCACTCACGTGAGCACACCCACATAGACACACAGGCATACTCAGAACTTAAAAAAACAAAAAACAAACAAACAAACAAAGAACCACTAGGCTTGGTGGTGCTTGCCTTTAATCCCAGCACTCAGGAAGTAGAGGCAGGCAGATCTCTGAGTGCCAGGACAGCCTGCTCTACACAGAGAAACCCTGTCTTGAAACACCCCCTCCCCCTCCCCACAAAAAAAGAAACAACCAAGCCCCCCAAAAAAAATCTTACAAAAGGAGAAAGAAAAAGTCAGATGTCATGTCACATGCCTGTAATCCCAGGAGGCAGAGGCAGGATCTACAGCTCAAGACCAGCCAGGGCTAGAGATCCTGTCCAAAAGAGAGAAAGATCCTTGGGTGTCTGCAGAGCAGCTGTGGATGGAGTGGCCTGAGGCAGGCAGAGCCTGGGGCAGCTGGATCTCAGCCTGGTACCTGATTCCTCTCCCACTCCCTCTGAAGTCCTAGTTAGGAACCCAAAAAGCCACAGAGAGAAGAGCTGTCCATGTTATCTTCCTGGGAGCATCCAGCAAGAGGACTAGGGAGGAGGGGTCTGCCCAGGACACAGCAGAGCCATTTGCTGACAGCCACTTCCCTCATCCATAAAATTGGGGTGATCTCCTTGCCACAGCTGAGGTGGGGTTCTACATCCTGGCATGGAGCCTGGTAGGTAACTTTTAAAAAGATGCACAGTTATTCTTAGAATGTAAATGGGAGGCAGAGGCAAGTGGATCTCTGTGAGTTCAAGATCAGCCTGGTCTACAAGAGGGAGTTCTAGGACAGCCTCCAAAGCCACAGAGAAAAACCCCTAAAAAAAAAAAACAAAAAACCAACCAAACAAACAAACAAAAGAATGTAATTGGGGAGAAGAAACTGGGCTGAGGCAGCCGGTAAGCCCTGGAATAACCTCATTCAGAGGAGCTGCACCTGTAAAAAGTCCCAGGCCCACTTGCCTGAGTCAGTGTGACTGTCCTTTAGTATTCCTACAGAAAAAAAAAGAAAAAAGAAAAATTTATTGTCTCACCAGAGTGGTTTCAGGTGTTATTTTCACAAGACACCATTTCTTAAAAGCATACTAAGAGGATCTACCTATCACCCATTTATTTTTCTTTTCAAAAAAAAAAAAAAGTCAGTTAAAATTCAGTCCATGGAGCCAGGTATGGTGGCAAGCACCCTGAATCCCAATACTCAGGCAGGAGGTGGATCTAGCTCTGTAGGTTTGAGGCTAGTCTAGGCACCAAGCAATGCCAAGTGGTACACATACATCCACACAGGTTAAGATAAATCTAAAAATCAGGTTATGGGCTCATACACTACCACACAAGCCCAAGTGTGATCCTGGTCCCTGAAACACACAAAACAATCTCAGTACCAACTAGGGATGTCTTCTGACCTTCCCATTCATGTCATAGGTTGCCTAGCTTGCTTAGACTCTGGATTTGGTACCCTGAATGGAAGTGTCCTGCAAATACCAAAGTGAATCTCCAGGTAGCCAGTTTGATGATTGTTAAATCTTGGTTCTCTTTATTGACCACTAATCAAGGAACCACCCTAGACACCGTGGGGGAGGTGCTCCTGTGATAAACAAAAGAAACTTAGTTTATTTCAGTTCAGTTTGCAGGTCAGTGTAGCCCCAAAGTTAAAGCCTTCCTCCTCATGGGGCCCAGACCATAAACTGTGCCAGACTAGATAGTCTTCTCACCTCAGTTAATTATGACACACCCACAGACCAGCCCAGGACAGTCACTCCAGCTGGGGAGCTTTGTGACTTTCACACCAGAGTTGAGCTGGAGAACCATGACTCTGGGACATTTCCCCCACCAATCAAGTGGCAGGTGCCAGCATTCAAGGGCCCAACTCCACCCTGCCTCCCAGCCAAATGTCTTATTCAAAGTTCATGGGAGAGGGTGAGGGACTACGCAGGAAAAGGAATGTCACCAATTCAGGCCACCCTGTTTTAGGTGTATCAAAGGAACAGTGGGTTCAAGAGTAATCCAGACTGGCAGTCTGATCCTTGGTAGAACAAATCGGGAGTGTTAAGTGAAAAAACCTACATTGGGCACCAGAGTCTAAGAGCCTGGATGTGATTGTGGTAAACACATGAAACCTTCAAGGTGAGCAAACCAAGGAGAAATCACTAGGTGGTACTGTGTGGATCCAGTCCACTCCAGATCTGGAAACCACAACCAGGCTGTCCCCCAATTTTATTAGGGCAACTTCATGGGGGACCATTTTAGACAGCCAGTCACAACTGTCCCACTTGGGAGGAATTGGATGTTTACAGGAAATAGCTGGTGGCTCTACCCAGAAGAACAAATAAATGCAAACAGATACCCAGTCAGGTTTGTTTCTTAAAATTTTTATTTTTGCATTTTATGTGCATTGGTATTTTGCCATGAGTGTTGGGTCCCCTGGAACTGGAGTTACAGACAGCTGTGAGCAGCCATGTAGGTGCTGGGAATTGAATTTGGGTCTTCTTAAAGAGCAGTCAGTGCTCTCAATCACTAAGCCATCTCTCCAGTTAACAGATTTTTTCTACAGATAGGAGGCCAAAAGCTTGCCACTCAGAAAACTCCCTTTTGGGCCAGCAGGAAGCAGGTGTTTAGTCTTTACTCCAGAAGTGCCTAGAAAGAAAAAAGCCAAAAGGTTGCTAAGTCTTGTCTAGCATGGACTGCATCTGGTTGAAACTCATTCCTTATAAAAACTCCATTGGGAACCTCATCAGCACCCAGAACAGCAGAATATCCAATCAACTGTCCACACCCACTAACATCCCCAGAATTGGGTCAAAGCCATCAGTAACAGAAAACTCACCTGTTCCAGGACACGGAAATCAAGCAGCATCATTCAGATCAACACACTAGCATCCATGGCTCCCTCAGGCCTGCACAAAGTAAATAGATGAAGCCATTATCATAAATGAAACCAGATCAAGACCAAAACAAGGAATTATTTCTGGGGCCAATGCATCAGACAAAACTGGCTATTATTAGCTTGAGATCAACAGGGTCGATCTGATGGGGAAAAAAGTGAAGTCATCAGCTGCACCAGCCAAACTTATGCCAAATGAACAATTCTACACAGACAGATCTTAAGAGATCCTATGCCCAGGGAAGGGACACATGGGAACCACTTACCAATCCTTTCCTACTTCTAGATTCTTCCTCCATCCAAAGTCTGATCTCTGCTGTCAGCAAACCTGAGACAAAATGTAGAAAGGAAATAATCAGCCCCATGGACCAAAGGACACAGTACCAGCAGGCGTTGCTCCAGCAGGCATGTCAGACAAACTGGCTTGGAAGAGTGAGATCAACATGGTCGATCTGATGGGGAAAAAAGTTCTGTCATCACACATGCCTGGTCACTTCTGGGTCTAGTCCTGCACGTGCAGGCAACTTGTTAGTAGAGCTGCCTGCAAGCAACAATTGTATTGTAAAAGCCATGTTTGTAATTGCTAGGATTTGCTGAACTGCCAATCCTCAGTTTAGGAAATTTCCACCTACAGGAAAATGTTCCCGTCCCTCCCACACTGTAGCAATAAACCCTACTCAACTGGCTTGATTGGTACAGTCTTCATTCAAACAGTCTGCTGTCCCAAAGAGACAAACCAGTATTCAGTCTCAGACCTGCCTGTGCCTTAAAGCATGTGCTGCCACACGTGGCCCAGGACAAACTATCTGAACAGGTTTGCTGAGAATGGCCATGATCATACCATTCTGAAAAGTACTAGGCTGCAAATATTTAAGAACCCAGACTGTTTCCAGCTTAAAGAGTCTCCAGTGCTGAAATTACAGCTCAAGTTACACTATTACAAAATGCCGTGAAAAGCCTGGCAGCACTTTCAATCCTAGTACTCAGGATGACAGTCTGCAAAGCTACAAAGAAACGACATCTCTAAAGACAAAAAGAAACGGAGGTTCAGACATTGCACACCCACAACAGGTTGAGCCCTCCTGTATCAACTCCTAAGAAAATGTGCTACAGGTCAATCTCATGGCATCATTCTCCCAAAGATTGCCTTAGTTTCTTTTAAATTCAGGTCAGGAAGTTACAGTTAACTGCCATGTGGGTGCTGGGATTTGAACCCTGGCTTTCTAGTAGAGAGGTCAGTGCCCTTAAACTACTGAGCTATTTCTCCAGCCCCGAGATAGCCAATTTCTCAAGTAACCCTAATTGCCAAAAAAAAAAACCAACAAGGACAGGGATCTGAATGCCCAGGCTGCATTCCCCGGAACTAGATATGGAATGGAAATTGAAAATGTGCCAAGAGGCACTCTAAAAGCAATATACATGTTCCTCTTACCCGTCCATTCTTTAGGATGCACTAACGGGAAAAGTTCAGAGACAAGACACGTGCCTTGCATTAATCGCAGCATTAAATCTTACATTTGAACTCCAAATCACAGCAAACTAAGAGGCTCTTAAAAACGTTTCCTACGTTAAGGCAGAAGACAAAAATCATACCTTGAAGAGATTAGGAGGTCGAAGATCGTAGATTTATTCTCTCATCTCCTGGGAGGCCCAAAGGTGACGTCTCTTCTCCCTCCATCCCCTGCTCTGTATCGCTTTATAACGCCAACCTGAAAAATAAAGGCGTGAATCGCCATCTTCCCTCGATCAAACAACAAAGTAGACCAAGGCCTTTGGGGGCTGGTGTATCAGGACTAACTGGCAAAGTATTTCAAGAGATCAGCATTGCCGATATGACGGGGAAAAAAAAGCTAAGTCATCATTTACACCAGACAAAAAGAGTTCTCCAGGCCCAACCAGAAAGCATCTTTTACGTCTAAATTACTTCCCCTAAGGTCAACCTGGGGCTGGCGCCGGACAAGCCACGCCGTCAGATTATGATCGATATCGGCATCGACAGCATAGAATTGGTAAGCGGTGCACAGAAAATTGTACCGCGCGGGGCCTCAACTCACCATCTGGCCGCGTGGAAGAGACATAGCGCACGAGCAAACGACCAAGGCGTCTCAGGAAATAAAGAACGAAGGAGATGGCGGACTTTCCTTATATAGACCAAGGGGACGCCTGCGCCTGCGCATTGGGCCTCAGGCGCGCCACTTCCGGTCGCGGCCGCTACGCCCCCTGGGAAATATAGTCCCCGAGCCGCCTGGCTCCAGCTCGCTAATGGTTGTCCAGCGGGCTTCTAGCCCCTCCCCGTGCTCAGTGGGCCTCCGGGGCTGCTCAGCCTCCGCGCCATGTCGCGCTTGGCACGCACGAGCCGCCCGCCGCGGCCCCCCAACTCCGGGGCCGGCCGAGACCTGGGGCCGCCCGGGGCGCAGTCAGCCCGCCCCCCGCCGCGCCCTCCCCTCAGCCGCGCCCGCGGGAGCCGCCAGTCCTGCCGCCGCCGCCGCGGGGGCTGAGGCGACACCGCCCTTCCGCCCGCCCCGAGGGCGGGGGCGCAGGCGAGCTCGGCCCGGCCTCTCGCTGGCGCCCGCGGCACCGCCTCCTCGTTCTGCGCGGCCTCCTCCTCCTCCGGGCCGCCCACCCGGCTCCTCGCCCCGCCCAGGGGCTGTGGGGACTGGAAACCGAAAGTGCGCGGCGCCGGGCGGGGCCGCGACCTACCAGGGCCGGAGCTGAGCGCTGTCCCGGCCGAAGACGCGCCCGAGCCGGTGAGTGGTCTCCGCCCCATCCCGCACCTGCTCCTGCGGCGCCGCGATCGCCTGCCCCCGCCCCCCGCCTTGGGCCAGGCATCGGGTTAGTCCTGGAGTCCCTGTCTGTCCTGCCCAGCGTCCCTATTGCCCCCGGAGTCCCTGTCCCTCTCCTCAGTTTCCTCGTAGTTCCCGGAGTCCCTGTCCACTTCCCTCAGTTCCCCTATAGCCTTCGGAGTCTCTGCCTCCCTCTTTCAGTTTCCCTATAGCCCCCAGAGTCCTTGTCCCCTTTCTTTAGCGCTCCCGTCACCCATGAGATCGTGTCTCCTTCCCCCAGTTTCCCTACAGTCCCCCAGAGTCCCTGTCCCCTTCCCTCGATTCCCCTATAGGCCCCGGAGTCTTTGCCCCCTTCCCTAAGTTCTATAGTCCCTAGAGTCCCTGTCCCCTTCCTTCAGTGCCCCATCACCCGCGAAGTCCCTGTCTGCTCCCCCGGTTCCCCTATAGCCCCCGGAGTCCCTGTCTGCTCCCTGGGTTCCCCAATAGCCCCCCGGGGTCTCTGCTCCCTCAGCTACCCTATAGCCCCCAGAGTCCCTGTCTGCTCCCTGGGTTCCCCAATAGCCCCCCCGGAGTCCCTGTCTGCTCCCCCCGGTTTCCCTATAGCCCCCGGGGTCCCTGTCTGCTCCCTCAGTTACCCTATAGCCCCCCCCGGAGTCCCTGTCTGCTCCCCCCGGTTCCCCTATAGCCCCCGGAGTCCCTGTCTGCTCCCTGGGTTCCCCAATAGCCCCCCGGGGTCTCTGTCTGCTCCCTCAGCTACCCTATAGCCCCCCCGGAGTCCCTGTCTGCTCCCTCAGTTACCCTATAGCTCCCAGAGTCCCTGACTGCGCCCTGGGCTCTCCATCATCCCCGGAGTGAGTAACTGTCTGTCCTTTTTCCTAAGTGCACCCTCAGCTCCCATCACCCTTAGGTTCCTTTCTCACCCCTCAGTATTGTTATCAGTTGTCAGCAACCCCACTGCCCCTAAATCCCTGCTCCTTCCCTCACCATCACTCCCTGGAGTTCCTGTCTCCTCTCCTCCCCCCAGCACCCTCACCTCCTGAGCCCCTAGCCTGCCATTGTCCCCCTCCCGCTCCCCAGCTCACCTGTTACCACCCTGATCAGCCCATACCCCTTCATCTCAGCACCCAGTCACCCAGGAGCCTTCCCCTCCACTCACCATCAGTCTCCACTGCATGCCCACAGCCCCCTAGCCTCACCGCCTCCATTTCTCATCCCTGTCTCTGTCCCAACTTCTGCCACAGCCACCCCTTGCCTCATTCACCCAGGGTCTGCAGAACTCCCTGGGCTCTTCCTCTGCCCACTTCTAGAAGCCCCCAGATCTCCAGCTTGCTCTGAGAGAGTGGTGTGGTGACTTCTCTGAGGACTTGAAACAACCCAGCCGCCACCTCTTGCCACACCTCTCTCATCTCACCCCATAATTACCGCTCTGTAATTTTTATCCTGGCAACAGCTGATCTTCCTGCCCTCCCTGCCTGATCCCTCACAACCCTAGACAAAGCCTTCCCCTCTCCTGTGTGCGCCTCCCTTTCTACCACTTCTTGTCTTCCTTTTTGTTTTTTACACTCCCAAATTGCTGGCATTCTATTTTAGTATTTTTCAAAATGAAGAAGAAAATTTTCTTCTCAGAAAAATTAAAAACAAATACTAACCATTTGAGCCTGCAGTGTGAGAACAGGGTTTGGTAAGATGAGAAGACACCGCGAGAATATTCCCAGCGGGAGGAAGAGGGACTCTTTTTTTCTGATAAGAATAAAAGCCACCTCTCATACAATGCCAAATCTATTCACAGTTTCCAACTATGAATATTTTAAAACTGTGAGGACAGTCTCAAAAATCCTTTTGCTGAGAACTGAGTCACCACCACCCCACCCCCTGCACCCACATGATATGCATGAGCTATATTGAGAAGTTCCCTGAAAGGAAGGGGCTTCCTTTTCACCCAGCCTCAGATATTATCAAGATGGGAGGGCAGCGAGAACTGACTTCTAGCTGGTCCTGAGGAAACAACACCGATAGCTCACTTATTTTCAAGCTGTGGGGAGCAGGAACCTGTAGACTGCTGTGTCATAGAACACCAGGTAGGGTGGTGGGTGCATAAGGTTTCATATCGTCCACATGGGCCTCAGACTCAGTGGAGACGGGCTTTGAATTTCTGGTCTTCCTGCTCCTACCTCCTAAGTGCTCTTACGTTCCTCACAAGTCTCCTGCCCCCCACCTCCCAGGAGCTGAGATGAGGTGATGGACACACACACTGCAGCTAGTTATTTCGTAGTCTTGAATTGACACAATAGTCCTTTTGCCCCAACAATCATTTTGTAAGAAAGGAAACGAAACCTAAGCAATGGATTAAGTAACTTGGCTGAAAGGCAAACCAAGCAGTAGTTTGGGAATTAATGACACTCTATCCCCAAGCAGGTACAGGAGGAGTCCAGGAGTGGGGAGTCAGATCTCTTGGAACTGCCTGAATTGAGAACTTAGTTTACATCATTGTTGGGAATTCACAAGGTTGAATGCTTGCGCTCATGATTAAAATCTGCATTTACTATCTTATTCCTCATTAATAAATCGTAATGTGTAGAGGCAGAAAGGCTGGCTTTATGGTGTTTGAGAATTTGCTGGTTTTGAAGGGCACTGGTAACTCTTAGCTTGTGCAGTTACAGATAACTTAAAGCCAGGTAAAGTGGAAGAATCCTTGGCATTCAGACATGGATGACAGAAGACCACATCTGGAGGCCAGGCCCAGGAACCCCCCTCCCAGCCACAGAGGTAAGCAGGGTTTCTACCCAGTGAAAAGGAGAAGGCCACCTGGGATGGCCTGTGTTTTTCAATTAAGAAGGATCTCCTTGCCAGGGGTGGTGACACACACCTTTAATCCTAGCACTGGGGAGACAGAGATAGGCTGATCTCTGAGTTCAAGGCCAGCCTGGTCTACAGAGCAAGTTCCAGGACAGCCAGGGCTATACAGAGAAACTTGTCTCTAAAAAACAGAGGGGAAAAAAAAGGTGAGGGGACTCCTTAGCTACAGCATGAATGACATGAAAAACAGCTTACCTAGGAGGGCTGTGAATGGGCACTGGTAGAAAGCCTGTCATTCCAGCAGTTGGAGGCAAGACGATGAGAATTTGAGGCCACCTGAACAGGCCGTCTAGGGTTTCACAGTGAACCCTTGTCAGGGCTGAGAGCCACCACTCAGTGGTAGAGTGCCTGCCTCACTGCCTGCCATGCACCAGGTTCTTGTATGGTCCCTGGCACTGAGAGGGTGAAAAAAACAAGAGGTGGGTGTGAGAAAGAAAGCGATCCCCGGTTTGTGGCAGGGCTATCCAGTAGAAGCTTGGGACAGCTAAAAACTGCTTTGTAATCTCTAATAGCATCATTAGGAAATTCAAAAGATAACTGGTAACATTTATTTTTATTTTTATGACATCTGTATGTATACTCGCGTGCCTGTGGAAATCAGAGAACATCCATAAGAGTTGGGTTTTTTCTTCTACTGTGTGGGTCTTGAGGACTGAACTGAGATCTTCAGGGTTGGTAGCAAGTGTCCTTATCTACTGAGCCATCTAACTGAACTTGAATTTTTTTTAATTTAATGCCAACTTAATAAATGTAATGCTCTAATTTCTTAATCATATTTGAAATACTAACATTTTATGAAAATTAATGCGCATGTAGACATACATAGGCCAAAATGTTCATATGCATAAAATAATAAGATATTTTTGTTTGGTTTGGTTTGGTTTGGTTTTTTGAGACAGGGTTTCTCTGCATTGTTTTGGAGGTTGTCCTGGAACTTGTTCTGTAGACCAGGCTGGCCTCGAACTCACAGAGATCCGCCAGCCTCGCCTCTTGAGTGCTGGGATTAAGGGCATGCACCACCAACATCCAGCTAATAATATATTTTTAAAAATTTAGAGGCCAGGTTGGGTTACAGGGTTAAACCCTGTCTTAAAAAAAAAAAAAAAAGGACCTAGCCAGGTACAGTGGCATACCTCTTAAATCTCAGCAGTAGGGAGGCAGAGGCAACAAATTCTGTGTGTTTTAAGCCAGTCTAGTCTATATAGTGAATTCCAGGCCAGCCAGGATGACACAGTGAGACCCTGTATCAAAAAAACAAAACAACAGCAAAAGATAACTTAAGTGTCTTTTGCATCTGATGTAGCGAGATAGTCCATCATCTTAATTTTCACCTGTATTTGTAGTTTTCCTAACTTCTTGTCAAATTGTGCACACAGCCAACGTTTTGTAAAACTCCACACCACCCTGCTAAGATAAGTCAGCTCTGGAATCAGCCTTAGAGGCAAGGAAAGTGACTGTGAGTGTGCCTAGCAAGGGCAGCCTTCTGCACAGATTGCTGGCTCCCAGGACCCTAGGATGCTGTAGGCACCATCCTCCCTCTCCACCTTCCTTTGTGAGGAGGGCAATAGATTGGGTGGGGGTGGCTGATGAAAAGTTTCACTTTTCAGTTTCCTGAGTGAAAGTTTAAGTTTCATTTTCCTACAAGGAAACTGGATATGCATGCTTTATTATCTCCACAGTCTGTCTGTTAGCCACAAAAATAAAAACAAAAAACATCTTGGAAGAGGGAAGTGCTGCCTTCCTCCTTTCCATTCAGGTTGTATTTCCTGCTGCTGGGCAAAGGTCAGGCAGTGTTTCCTTCATAGTTTTATTCCACTTGTTCTTGTAGCTGATGATAATTGTCCAACAGGGTAGCCACAGAAATCACAAGACAGTCCTAAGAACAGCTCCAATCATTTTATAATTTTTACATGTGTTAAAATAAGTTTCCCATGTTTATATCTACATGAAATATTGAGGTTCATATTGGCAATGTGTATCTGACATTTTAAAGTTCCTTTTATTTATTTATTCATTAACATTTATTTATTTCATGTGCATTGGTGTTTTGCCTGCATGTATATCTGTGTGAGAGTGCCAGATCCTCTGGAATTGGAGTTACAAACAGTTGTGAGCTGCCATGTGGGTGCTGGGAATTGAATCCAGGGAGAACAGCCAGTGCTCTTAATCATTGAGCCATCACGCCAGACCTTTCCTGACATTTTATAAACATTTTACCTATAGCAGCCAGATGGCTGAGAAACCAATAAATTACACAAGGTTCCACAGTAAGGAAGTGATCGAGCTAGGCTGCTCTCTGAATGTTGTGTTCTGATTTGTTTTGTACTTGCCAGAGACTAGAACCCTCTGAATGTTGGGCCTCAGCTGGGGGCGTGAAATAAGATGCTTTAAGTACATTTACCAGGCACTCAGCTGGTGCTCATTCAGTTTCTCTTGTTTCTTTCAGGAAAACAGTGTTTTTATAATCTACACAGCAATAGTAATCATCTTTCCTTGTGGTATTGGAGTAGAATTCAGGGGCTTCATGCATTCAAGACAAGTGTACTACCACTGCCTATATCCCACAGTCCCCCTCCAGAGTCTCACCATGTAACTCAAGTTAGCTTCTAAGAAACTGCGTTGTCCAATTTGGCCTTGAACTCATGATCCCCCTGCCTTAGTCTCTGGGAATAATAGATATGAACCACCATATCTGGCTCTGTAGTTCATTTGTTTAAGACTAAACTGGGTGTAGTGGCGCATGCCTTTAATCCCAGCACTTAGGAGGCAGAAGCAGGTGGATCTCTCTGTGAGTTTGGGGCCAGCCTGGTCTGTATAGTGAGTTTCAGGACAGCCAGGGCTACATAGTTGTTAGGGTCCATAGAAGTGACTCTGCTTCATCTTGACTTAAGGTTAGAGAGTTCAAATCTACTCTTATTCTTTCAAGGTTAAACAACAGAATGTTTGGCCTAAGGCGTAGCTAATGGATGTCTTACGTAAACAACAGGATATTTAGTTTAGGATGTAGTTACTTGATTTGGGGTACTGAGAAGGTAATTATGTTTGCTTGTTCCTTGTATCATGGAAGTCTTTTGCCCTCCTGTTTTGATTGGGGTATATAAGGACCATGTGTAATAAATTCGGGGCCTTTGCCAGTATTCACTGGATGCCCTCCTCACTCATCTCTTGTCCCTAGTCTGTTTCTTTCCTCAATCCACACTCTTCCTTTCAAGCACAGACAGGACAAGACAGCCGGAACAGAACAGAGTGAGACCCTGTCTCAGAAAACAGCAAAGACTTTACTATTTTTCAACTACACACAGAGAGTCTGTCTGTCTGTCTGTCTGTGTTATGTGTGCATGTGTGCAGGTGCTTGCAGAGACTAGAGGCGTTGAATCCCCATGGAGCTGGAGTTGCAGCAGTTTTGTACCACCCAGTGGTTGCTAGGAACTGAACTTGGGAAGAGTGGTGTGCTCTTAACCACTGAGCCATCCCTCCCTCAGCCCTTGCCAAGAAGCTTTCTAAATCTCTCCAAGCAAAATCTAAGTTGCTTGTTTGTTTTGGAGGATGGAAGTATGTTCATTGTTGTCTTACTGGCCTTCCTCACTCCTTAACTTTGTACTTACCCAATATCCCCATTGTGTTTAGGTCCTGTAGATGGAGAAGTACCACCAAGAGCTAGAAATCAAACCAGTAACCCAGCAGCCAGTGCAATCCGTGGAGGAACCAACCATCCTGGAATGCATCCTAGGGCCAGCAACCATCCTGTTCCTTTCCGGCAGAGGGAAGAGAGATTTAGGGCTATGGGCAGGAACCCACATCAGGGAAGAAGAAACCAGGAGGGGTATGCCAGTGATGAAGCTGGAGACCAGAGACAAAGCCAGAATGATACCAGGAGGAGAAATGACAACCAGGAGGGCAGGAACCACAGACCACCATGGTCCAACGATAACTTCCAGCAGTGGCGAGGCCCACACCAGAAGCCAGCAGAGCAACCACAGCAGACAAAGAGACTGGGCTACAAGTTTCTGGAGAGTCTCCTACAGAAAGAGCCCTCTGAGGTAGCCATCACACTTGCCACAAGTATAGGGCTCAAGGAGCTGCTTTCTCATTCTTCCATGAAACCCAGCTTCCTTGAGCTGATCTGCCAAGTTCTCCGAAAGGCTTGCAGCTCCAGGATAGACCGTCAGAGCATCCTGCATGTGCTGGGCATCTTGAACAACTCCAAGTTCCTCAGAGTCTGCCTGCCAGCTTATGTAGTAGGAATGATTACTGAGCCCATCCCTGACATTCGAAACCAGTATCCAGAACACATAAGCAATATCATCTCCCTTCTCCAGGACCTTGTCAGCGTCTTCCCCGCCAGCTCTGTGCAGGAAACTTCCATGCTTGTCTCTCTCTTGCCAGCTTCTCTTAATGCTTTAAGAGCCTCTGGGGTTGACATAGAAGAGGAGACAGAGAAGAATCTGGAAAAGGTACAGACCATCGTTGAACATCTGCAGGAAAAGAGGAGAGAGGGCACTTTGAAAGTAGATACCTACACTCTAGTGCAGACTGAGGCAGAAGGCCAGGTTGAGAGCTACCGGGCCATGCCCATCTATCCCACCTACAACGAAGTGCACTTGGATGAGAGGCCCTTCCTTCGCCCCAACATCATTTCTGGGAAATATGAGAGCACTGCTGTCTACCTAGACACTCACTTCCGCCTCCTGCGAGAGGATTTTGTCAGGCCCCTTCGAGAAGGCATTTTGGAGCTTCTACAAAGCTTTGAGGACCAGGGTCTGAGGAAGAGGAAGTTCGATGACATCCGAATTTACTTTGATGCCAGGATTATCACCCCCATGTGCTCAGCATCAGGCATCGTGTACAAAGTGCAGTTTGACACAAAACCACTGAAGTTTGTTCGTTGGCAGAATTCCAAGCGACTGCTCTATGGGTCATTAGTGTGCATGTCCAAGGACAACTTTGAGACGTTTCTTTTTGCCACTGTTTCAAACCGGGAGCATGAAGATCTCTGCCGAGGAATTGTCCAGCTGTGTTTCAATGAGCAGAGCCAGCAGCTGCTCGCAGATGTCCAGCCTTCAGACTCTTTCCTCATGGTAGAGACAACAGCCTACTTTGAGGCTTACAGACACGTCCTAGAAGGACTACAGGAGGTCCAGGAGGAAGATGTCCCCTTCCAGAGGAACATTGTGGAGTGTGACTCCCATGTAGAGGAGCCAAGGTACTTACTAATGGGTGGCAGATATGATTTCACCCCCCTAATGGAGAACCCCTCAGCTACTGGGGAGTGCCTGAGGGGTGCCAGGGTCTTTCGACGTACTAGAATTAACGTCTTAGACTTCAGCCAGTGGCCCTCAAAAGAGACCCTGAAGTTGGATGACTCCCAGATGGAAGCCTTACAGTTTGCTCTCACAAGGGAGCTGGCTATCATCCAAGGACCTCCTGGAACAGGTAAGAGACTCTCAGAGCCGGTGCACACATCAAGCAAGGGAGATTGTGCTCTAGGTTTCTAGAATGCCTAATTTAGAAATATTCCCTGAAATGCAATGAATTGTTCATGCATAGCCACTCAGTGATTCCCAGTGGAAACCATAGGCAAGCATAGTAATGGATCAAAATCTCAAGATCAAAGAGACCTTCTCGTCCATAGCTTTGTTGGGTTATGCTGTTTTAAATTAAGTAGTACTGAATATATAATCATAGCATGATGCGCCAAATACCATTCAGTGTGCTTTACATATGCTAGCTCACTGTATCATCACAGCAGCCCTACTGGGTAAATCAGTCAAAGAAAAGTTAAACTGCCTCTTACTTAAGAGCTGTGGGGTATTATGAAGCTCACACAGGTGAGTGGACCTGGGGCCAGGACTTGAACTTGGGCAGCCTACATGGAGAGTGCTAGCTCCTCTCTCTGCTGCACTCACACATGGCTCTCTACATGGCAGTCTGATTCTGCTCTGTATTCCTGTGTTTATGTGTACATTTTTAGCAACAAACATAAGACCATGCTTGTATACAATGACTTATATGTAACATTATTTGAGCATATTTATGTTAATTGATATGCAAAGGCTGCTAAATTAACTCCCCAAAAACACATGCAAGAATAGCTAAGGCCTTTAATCCCAAGACTAGGGAGGCAGAGGCAAGCAGATCTCTGTGAGTTTGAGGCCAGCGTGGCTCACGGAGTGAGTTCTGGGACAACCAGGACTGTTTAACAGCGAAATCCTGTCACAAAAAGAATAGCCAGTGAAGCAGAAATAGGTCTTTAAAGTAGTAATGGAGTAAGGGCAATTCATGATTAAAAAAACAATGAGGCCAGGTGTGGTAGCTCACAACTTTAATCCCAGCATCACTCAGGAGGCAGAGACTGAGTTTGAGTTTGATATCTATGAACCTGGTCTACATAGTGAGTTCCCCAACAGCCAGGGCTGTGTCCAAAGGGGGGGAAAAAAAGCATAAAGTGGGCCTGGAAATCCCAGCACTTGGGAGGTAGAAGAAAGAGGATGAGGATTTTACAGCTTTTCTGTTACTGCAAGGTTCAGGGCAGCAGCCGGAGCTGTATCCCTCCCCAGTAGTAAAGCAGAATAGAAAGTTGTTTTCTCTCCTTCCTTCCTTCCTTCCTTCCTTCCTTCCTTCCTTCCTTCCTTCCTTCCTTCTTCCTTCCTTCTTCCTTCCTTCCTTTTTCAAGACAGGGTTTCTCTATATAGCCCTCGGTGTCCTGGAACTTGCACTATAGAGCAAGATGACCTCAAACTCAGAGATCTGCCTGCCTCTGCCTCTTGAGTGCTGTGATTAAACTCGTGTACCACCACCGCCCAGCAGAAAGTTGTTTCTTTCTAATAAATGCTGCTATGATGGAAGCATGTGCAGAGTGTAGGAGGAAGGGAGGAGGAGGTGCCTGTTCATGCTCATCTTTGGTTTCCCTTCCTTTGCAGTGTGGATTCTGGGTATCAGTCTTTTTAGGGCAATCTACATGATACCAGTTTTTGTTTTTCTGAGATGTTAAGTTTTCTGACTCATTAATTTTAGTATTACCTTTTAAGAAATAACAGCTCACATTTTTACAAGTCCCTGCCTCCTACCACCCCAGTTCCTTCCTTAAGCAAATGACATAGCCATTTTCCTGTGTATCCTTCCAGGGACTACCTTGTAAGTCTGCACACACGACTACACTTGGGTGCAGCTTTCCCTGCTGTAACACTGTTCTGCAGTCATTTTGTTCCTGGGTCATGGAAATGTTTCCCTATTACTGTATGGTGTGTTCATGGTGACTCCAGAACGGTCCTCACAGACTCCATTGTATCAGCAGATCATAAGCTGTTTGACAAGTTCCCACTCAGTGTGTCCAGAAGAGACATCTATAGCTGTGTTAAGAACAATATCCATTTGTAATTTTATTTATTTACTTTATTTTGCTCACTATATTGTCTTGATTGACTTGGAACTCACAATGTAGATTAGACTGGCCTCAAACTCACAGAGATCCACCTGTTTCTGCCATGCCTGGCTAAGAATTTTTAAAATGTGCTTAAGTGTTTTTCCTGCATTTAAATGTAGCATATGCCTACAGGGGCCAAAGAGGGTATAGATTCTTTGCAACTAGAGTTACAGATGGTAGTGACCTGTCATGTTGGTGCTAGGAACTGAACCCAGGTCCTCTGCCAGAGTAACAAGTGCTCACAACAGCTGAGCCATCCCTCCAGCTCCCATTTATGGTGTTCACTGAGACAATATTGTCACACTTTTCTGGCAGTATAATTGCAATGATTAATTTGTATTCCTTCAGTTGAGAGGTAAAAGAAGAGTGGTTACAGCTACCTGCAACTCCAGTTCCAGAGGATCCAATGCCCTCTTTTGGTCTCTGAGGTCAACTGTACATTCATATAATGCCTGCATATAGATACACATAAATAAAAATAAATCTTTAAAAATGAATAAAAAAATTTAAGAAAATCTTGGCAAGGTGGCATATGCCTTTAATTTAGCACTTAGAAAGCAAAGGTAGGTGACTCTCCGTGAATTCAAAGCCAGTCAGGGCTATATATATGAGACCTTGTCTCAAAAATGGGTGTGGAGGGAAGAGAAATAATTAAAGCCATATCAGTAGTGACTTAGAGCTGCAAATCTCAGCAGTCAGGAGGCTGAGGTAAGAGTTGCCTAGAGCTTGAAGTTACAAATTCTCACCCAGTGTGGGCCATAGAGCAAGATCCTGTCTTAAAAACCAAAAGCCAGGCAGTGGTGGTGCATGTCTTTAATCCAAGCACTCAAGAGTCAGAGACAGGCAGATCTCTGAGTGTTCGAGGCCAACATGGTCTACAAAGTGAGTTCAAGGACAGCCAGGGCTGTTACACAGAAAAACCCTGTCTTGAAAAAACCAAAACAAGAATATCAAGTGTCTTATCTTTAATATCCCAGGTGTTTGCATTGGCACCTATGGGGCTTCTTCATGCTCGTTCTCTGCTATCTCTGGTACTCTTCCTCAGTGACTTGGGCACTGTGTGTGACACACACATGCTGCATATAGTGTTTTCTCCCATTATCACTTGAATGAGAGCACTTGAGCTCCACTTCAGTCATTTCAGATCCAGAAAACATAGGAACTCGCCACAGACACACAGAGGGCTGACTGAGTGTGGGAGAAAGTAACAAAGGGAACTAACTATGTGGGGGTGAAAATCCCAAAAGTATCTCCTGCAAGGGGAAGGAAGCGTAGAGGGGAAGTGTTAAATACTGAATTTCCAAGATTCTCCTTCCTGCTGATGTCTCCGCTGTCTGTCACAAGCCTGCAGAGGCAGCCGGGACTTAACCGTGTCTGCCCACCCCCAGCAACGCTATTTCCTACTTCCAGTCGTTTTCTGCCTCACACATCTCTTCTGTCCACTTATCTAAGCTCTCCTGCTGGAGGAAGACCTTGGCCTTCATTCATTGATAAGATTGGGAGCCTGCACATACAGGCACCATTTGTTTGCCTGCTCTTCCCCAGAGAAGGCTTCCCAGTGTGAGTCCAGAAGTTTCTCCTTTGCAACACTCCCGATTTTACAGTGGTTTATGTGGTTGTCATTTGTCTCCTTCGGTAGCGTGGAAGACCCACGAAGGTAGAAATCCTGTTCTTTCTCTTGATGTACCTGCATGGGTCTGATGTCTGCCAAAGGACCCTGTGCACACTAGTTGAAGAAAATGAAAGGAAGACTCAGTTGCTTCCTCTGCCATGTGGAAATCACGAGTTTTCTGTCTCTCCCTCAGCCAGCTTGGAGCTTTGGAGGACATTGACTACTTTAACCTGACACACTGTAGAAATTTGTACTTAATTTATGACCAATTGCTAACCACTTTATTGAGACTGGTGATGAAGTATTTGAGTTTTTCCTCTCATCCCAGACCTAAGTGTACCATAGTCTACAAAAACCATATGTAAAGAATTTGCCACAGGGGCTATGGAGATGGCTTAGTGGTTAAGAGCACACTGGCTGCTCTTTCAGAGACCCTGGTTTGATTCCTAGCACCCACATGGCAGCTCACAAGTATCTGTAACTCCAGTTCCAAGGGATCACACAGACATATATACAGGAAAAACACCAATGGACAAGAAAAATAAAAAATAAAAAGAATTTTTATTTTTGCCGCATTAGAGCCAAGCATAGTGACACTATCTGTTATCCCAGTAGGGGCAGAAGCAGGTAGATCTCTGAGTTTGAGGCCAGCCTGGTCTGTTCAAGTTCCAAGCCAGCCAGGGCTACATGGTGAGATACTGTCACATAAGACCGGAAACAGTATGGATGTCATCAGTCAGTGGCTGCCTGGGCTGGCAGCACATTCCTCTGTTCTCTGATCTCAGGGCCAGCCTCAGCCACATAGTAAACTTGAGATTAGCTAAGACTGCAAACGAGACCCTGTCTTTAAAATAAGAAAGGAAAAGAAGCCCGGCAGCGTTGGTGGCGCATGCCTTTAATTCCATCACCTGGGAGGCAGAGGCAGGAGGATCTCTGTGAGTTCGAGACCAGCCTGGTCTACAAGAGCTAGTTCTAGGAAAGCCTCCAAAGCCACAGAGAAACCCTGCCTCGGAAAAAAAAAAAAAGGAAAAGAAAAACAGGGAGCTGACTAAAAGTTTCTAAGAGGCAGGTGGTGTAGGCCTCCATGTGCTGACAGGGAACTATCTCCAAGACACATTAGTGAGAAAAGCAAAGAAACACTAAAGAGTTTGCTGCAATTTGTATCTTTAAGAAAAAAAGGGGCTGCTGGGTGGTGGTGACCCATGCCTTTAATCCCAGCACTTGGGAGGCAGAGACAGGCAGATCTCTGTGAGTTCCAGACCAGCCTGGTCCACAGAGAGAGTTCCAGGACAGCCTCCAAAGCCACAGAGAAACCCTATCTCGAAAAAACAAAAAAACAAATAAACAAAGACAAAACAACTGTTTGTTGTGGAATAATCCTCTTGAACACTGTAAGGATTTGTTACTTGAATTGGTTTAATAAAATGTTGATTTAATCCCAGCACTCGGGAGGCAGAGACAGGTGGATCTCTGTGAGTTCGAGGCCAGCCGGGTCTACAGAGCTAGTTCCAGGACAGCCTTCAAAGCCACAGAGAAACCCTGTCTTGGAAAAAAGAAAAAAAGGGCTGTTGAGATGACTCAGTGGTTAAGAGCACTAATTGTTCCTCCAGAGGACCTGGGTTTAATTTCTAGTACCCACATGGTGGCTCAGAACCATCTGTAATAAAATTGGATGCTCTCTTCTGTCCTGTGGATGTACAGGAAGACAGCGTGCTCATATACATACATAAATCTGGAAGGGAGGAAGGGAGGAAGAGAGGAAGAGTCCCCTGGAGAGGAGCACTGTCTGTATGGACAGTCACATAGAAACCTTTTTGTTTTGTTTTGTTTTGTTTGTTTGTTTTTCAAGACAGGGTTTCTCTGTATTGCTTTGGAGGCTGTCCTCGAACTCGCTCTGTAGACCAGGCTGGCCTCGAACTCACAGAGGTCCGCCTGCCCGCCTCCGGAGTGCTGGGATTAAAGGGGTGCTCCACCAACGCCCTGCTTCTTTTTGTTTTTTTTAAGATTTATTTATTATGCATACAACATCCTGCCTCCATGTCTGTCTGCAGGCCAGACGAGGGCACCAGATTTCATTATAGATAGCTGTGAGCCACCATGTGGTTGCTGGGAATTAAACTCAGGACCTCTGGAAGAGCAGTCAGTGCTCTTAACCTCTGAGCCATCTCTCCAGCCCCCAGAAATCTTAACATGAACTATTCCAGTAAGACCTTGTGACTCCAAAACTCTCCAGTAGACTCATTGGTGCTGCTTACATTTCAAACCATCTCAATGTATTTTTTTAAAGAATTTTTTAAAAATTAGCTTTCAACATTTGGGAGGCAGAGGCAGGCAGATCTCTGAGTTTGAGACCAGCCCAGTCTACAGATATCTGGTCTCTATCTTTCTAGGACAGCCAGGGCTACACAGAGAAACACCCTGTCCAAAAAAAAAAGCAAATGAAAACAAAAATTAAAAATAATTAAGCCATGCTGGTCGGTGGTGGCACCAGGCCTTTATTCCTAGCATTTGGGGAGTAGAGGTAGATGGATCTCTGACCTCAAGGCCATCCTGGTGTATAGAGTGAGATCCAGGAGAGCCATGGCTACACAGAGAAACCCTGGATGAAAAACAAACAAGGACAACAGAACAGTTGAGCCAGTGCTGTGACACATGCCTGTAAATCTACAGTTTGGAAGATGGAGTGAGGAGGAGGAGCAAGAGTTCAGGGCCACATGGGCCATGGGAGATGACACCTCAAAGCAACAACAAATGGAATTTTAAAAATATTTTTTATGGGGCTGCAGAGATCATTCAGAGCACTGGCTACTCTTCCAGAGGTCCCGAGTTCAATTCCCAGCAACCACATGGGGGCTCACAGCCATCGATAATGAGATCTGGTGCCCTCTTCTGGTGTGCAGGCTTAACATTGTATACATAATAAATAAATCTTTAAAAAAAATCTTCCAAATTTAAAAAAAAATATATATATATATATATATATTTTTTTTTTTTTGGTTTTTCGAGACAGGGTTTCTCTGTGGCTTTGGAGGCTGTCCTGGAACTCCCTTGGTAGTCCAGGCTGGTCTCAAACTCACAGAGATCCGCCTGCCTCTGCCTCCCGAGTGCTGGGATTAAAGGCGTGCGCCACCAACGCCCAGCTCCAAAATATATTTTCTTTATAAGCCAGTGTGTATCTACTGCAGTCTAGCTACTTGGGACACTGAGACAGGAGGATCACTTGGGCTTAGGAATTGAAGACTAGCCTGTGCAGCATAGACACGGTTTCTACGTAAATGAATGATTGGTCTAAGTAATTTATTAGTCATCTTACAAGATCTAAATTTTAGCCAGGTGGTGGTGGTGCATGTCTTTAGTCCCAGCACTCAGGCGGCAGAGGCACTGTAAGTTTTTTTTGTTTTTTTTTTTTTTTTTTTTTGGTTTTTTTGGTTTTTCGAGACAGGGTTTCTCTGTGGCTTTGGAGGCTGTCCTGGAACTCGCTTGGTAGTCCAGGCTGGTCTCGAACTCACAGAGATCCGCCTGCCTCTGCCTCCTGAGTGCTGGGATTAAAGGCTTGCGCCACCAACGCCCGGCGGCACTGTAAGTTTGATGCCAGCCTGATCTACATAGTTCCAGGACAGCCTCCAGAAGCTACACAGAGAAACTGTGTGTCTAAAACAAAACAAAACAAAAAATAATCAAGGTCTAAATTTTGAGACTGGCATCCTGTGATGACAGGGAGACAGAGTCTGGCCCAGCTAAGGCAGGAAGATGAGATGGTGGCCCTTTTGTGTACATTCCCCTTCTTGTTAGTCAGTGAAGCATACAATACACAGACAGGCAGCATGGAAAGGAGAAGGTGTGGCCTGGAGTGAGTGCAAAGACAAGTCAAGGTTTCTTAGAATAAGAATGGCCCTGAGTGTCCTGTGTGTTATTTAACTGGAATATGACCACTTGTGCCTTCAATCCCAGCCCTCGGGAGGCAGAGTTCAAGGCCAACCTGGTCTACAGAGCGAGTGCCAGGGCTGGCTCCAAAGCCACAGAGAAACCCTGTGTCTTGAAAAACAAACAAAAAAATGCAAAAAAAATTCACATCAGAATTTTTCATCTAGGCTCGGCATGTAATTTGGATAGGTTGCATGCATGGCTAGCATGCACAAAGCCTGCACCAAATAACCAAGAGGTAATGGTTTGAATCTGTAACCCTGACTCTTGAAAGACAGGGGCAGAGGGATCAGGAACTCAAAGTCAACTTCTGCTACATGGTGAGTTCCTGGCTACTCTGGGCAACATGAGGCATGTCTCAAAAAAATTGTTCGTTTTTCACCTAGCTTTTATGGATTATAAAATTCTCTTTTTGTCTTCCAATGCATTTTCATGGAAGAGGAGGAATAATTCTTTATTTTATAAGACAGTCTCACTGTGAAGGCCAAGCTGACCTTGAATTCACAGCAGTCTTCCTGCCTCTACTTTCCAAGTGTTGGGATTATCCACAAGTCCACAAGTTGATGCCAACACATCTGACTAATGAGAATGGTTTTTTTGTTGTTGTTGTTGTTTTTTGTTTTTTGTTTTTTTTTTGGTTTTTTCGAGACAGGGTTTCTCTGTGGCTTTGGAGGCTGTCCTGGAACTCCCTTGGTAGTCCAGGCTGGTCTCGAACTCACAGAGATCCGCCTGCCTCTGCCTCCCGAGTGCTGGGATTAAAGGCGTGCGCCACCAACGCCCGGCTTGGCGAGAATGTTTTTTAAGCAGGTAGTGAACTGTTATTTGAAACTTTGTGTCTGTCTTTTCTCCATATAAGCAAATTTCAGATTAATATGTTTAATAAGATTTGCAATACCCAGTTATTCACCTTTTAAGTTAATGAATAAAAATATTAAATTGAAAAAAATATATGTTTTGTAACTTGTCTTTTCCTTATTTTCTAGGCAAAACTTACGTGGGTCTAAAAATTGTCCAGGCCCTTCTGACCAATGAGTCTGTTTGGCAAATTAGTACCCAGAAGGTCCCCATCTTGGTCGTCTGCTATACTAATCATGCTTTGGATCAGTTTCTAGAAGGTAATGAATGTCTATCTGCAAAATTGTTTTCTACTGGGACTGGAGATACAGCTCAGTGGTGGAGCACTTCCTGGTGCATCACAAGGCTGAACTCCATCTTCAGCACCACACATGCACAAATAGACACACATGCATAAGCTCGCACATAGGCATGAACACATGCACGAGCACACACATATACACGCAAAGTGTCTGCAACTTCAGAGATTTTCTTGTCTTTGTCCACAGTCCTTACCCTGACATGCAATCCTGACTGATCTTTCTTACTGTGCCGTGAGCTCTGTCTGTCTTTCTGCTTCCCAATCCCAGGGGCACCAGTCACCTTCAGTCCTTGACTTCTTCTCCCTTGGCTGTCCCCCTTTGTCCGCCCCACCTCAGCTTGAGTGCATCTAGCCCAGCTTGTGTCAACTCAGTCTTCAAGCCTTGCATGGCTCAAGTACACTTGCCCTACTGCTCCCAAGTTATGGTCCGTTCTCTGTTTTCTTTTTTTGTTTGTTTTTGTTTTTAATTTTGATTTTTTGAAGATTAATTTATGTGTTTGGGTGTTTGCCTGCATGTATGTCTGTGTACCACATGTGTGCCTAGTGCTGTTAGAGACTAAAAGAGGGTATCCAGTAGCCGGGCATTGGTGGCGCACGCCTTTAATCCCAGCACTCAGGAGGCAGAGGCAGGCGGATCTCTGTGAGTTCAAGGCCAGCCTGGTCTACAGAGTGAGTTCCAGGACAGCCTCCAAAGCCACAGAGAAACCCTGTCTCGAAAAAAACCAAAAAAAAAAAAAAAAAAAAAGAGGGTATCCAGTATCTCTAAACTGCAGTTACAGATGGTTGTGAGCTGCTGTGTTGGTGCCGAGAATCAAACCCAGGTCCTCTAGAAGAGCATTGACGATCCTAATTGATGAGCTGTCTCTGAAGCCCAGTCATTTTTTTTTTTCAGAGCTAGAGAGATTCTTCCTGTATTTACACAACTTATTAGTCACTCAAAAATACTGAGTGGTTTAGAGTGCCTGGTGCTCTTCCAGAGGACCTAAGTCCAGTTCCCAGCACACACATTGAACACTTCCCAATCTGCCTGTGACACCAACTCCAGGGGATCAGACTTCCTCCGTGTCTGTCCTCCATGGCCCCTGACAACAACAGTCATATAGACATATCCATATAAAATAAAGACATAATGAATATTTTAGTGCTATTTGCCCCCAATGGATAAGTAAGTGTGCACTCTTCCTTTTGTTGAAACATTGCTCTGTATTTCTCTGTGCTTTTCCCACCTACATGAGCCCCTTAAACTGCCCAGCAACCAGTTCGGGGCCTTTCTGTGCATTTACAGCAGCAGGTCCTTCCACATTGGAACTATAGATGTTGGAGTAAGTGGTTTAATGAGCCTGGATGTGAGGCAGGAAAGCAAATCCAAAGCTGAGTCTCCATCATATAAGCCACCATTCCCTGTGTGGAGTGGGGCCCATGTCTTGGCTGTTTGCTTAGTCTGGGCTGTGCTAGGTGCTTGCAGAGATGGCTCTTACTTACCCAGGCTGTGACCTCACATTGTTGCTGTCTCTGGTTCTTACACAGACCAGCACCAATTCAGTGTCTCAATATCTGCTCGTGCTCTACAGCATCAAGTGTTAGAGCCGAGAGCTCTCTCTCCATCTGTCTTAAGTCCATGGCCTTACTCTTTTGTGTGATGTTGTTTGTTTGTTTGAGACAGAGCTTCTCTCTGTGTGGCTCTGGCTGCCTGGAACTCACTCTGTAGACCAGGCTGGCCACAAACTCAGAGATCCTTCTAACTCTGGCTCCCTAGTGCTGGGATTAAAGGCGTGCACCACCACTGGTAGGCCATGGCTTTACTCTTAAGCACTCCACTTTTCTGCTTGGCAGCTCACATTTTATTAGTAGCCTTCTCACACAAGATGGGGTGAATGTCCTGTAAGCACAAGTTTGTTCCCTAAGGGACCAGTTGATATAAGATCCTAGACTCTCGCCGGGCATTGGTGGCTCATGCCTTTAATCCCAGCACTCCGGAGGCAGAGGCAGGAGATTACCGTGAGTTCAAGGCCAGCCTGGTCTACAGAGCAAGTTCTAGGACAGCCTCCAAAGCAATAGAGAGAAACCCTGTCTCGAAAAAACCAAAAAAAAAAAAAAAAAAAAAAAAAGATCCTAGACTCTCACAGCTCTCATCTGAGCAGAGTCAGAGTCAGCATCACTCTTCTCAGTCCTGGACTACTGCATGTTGCCTTACAGGCATTTACAGGTGTCAGAAGACCAGCATTGTACGAGTGGGTGGAAGGAGCAACAGTGAAATCCTGAAGCAATTCACCCTGAGGGAGCTGAGGAACAAGCGGGAATTCCGCCGCAACCTCCCCATGCACCTGCGAAGGGCCTACATGAGTGTAAGTCCCAGCGCTGGAATAGCTGAGGGGCTTAAGCAACCCACCTACCATAGCAGCAGGGCTCTGGTGGGGTTCTCAGCCCTCTGCAGGACCTAGCTTCACTCTAGTATTTCATTCTGCTAATCTTTTAGTGCCTAAGTGAAAAAGTTACTCTCTTGCCTCTACCAGGACCTTCAGTCTGCTTCCCCAAACGACTCACAACACAGCCTACTGTGAATGTCTTTGTTTTTCAAGACAGGCTTTCTCTATGTACTCCTGGATGTCCTGGAACTCATTTTGTAGACCAGGGTGGCTGGCCTCAAAGGCAGAGATCCACCTGTCTCTGCCTCCCAAATGCTGGGATTAAAGGCATGCACCTTGGGAAGTATCTTTTTATCTGAGTAGGGTGCCCAGTCAAAATTATAACTGGGTACAATGGCACAGACTTTTATTCCCAGATCTTAGGGAAACTGAGTCAGGTGGGCGTGATCAAACCAAAAGTTTGTGACCAGCCTGGGCAATGTAGCAGAAACCTGTCTCTTCAACAGGTGGGGGGAAAAATCCCAGGTCTTATTATCAAGGAAGAAAAGAGGCTACAGGGCTTAAGTGTGAGCCAGAGCACCTCAGGCCTATTTTCCACTGTGTCCTTAGCTTGCCCTGCTCACTGCCTGGTCAACCCTTGACCACTAGTCTGTGGTTTCAAGACTGCGTGATGTACTTGAGAAACTGGTTTGTTGACTGGTGTGTTTATTTATCACTCATTCCTGCCTTTCCTTTCTTGACTTTATTTTCTCTCAGGGCAGAGGCTTTCTTTGGGAGAGAATGTTTCTTCACCACCTCTTTCTTTCTGTTCTTGGCAGATTGTGACAGAGATGAAGGAGTCAGAGCAAGAACTTCAGGAAGGGGCCAAGACCTTGGAATGCACTATGCGTGGTGTCCTTCGGGAGCAACACCTGGAGAAGTACATCTCTCCCCAGCACTGGGACAGCCTCATGAATGGACCTATGCAGGTAGGGCTGCCTGAAGGATGCTCACCTCGTGGAGGCCATATCTGTCTATAGGTCTGATGCTGCTGGTGAAGTTTCCTCTTGGGATGAGAAGCAGTTGAAGGTCGTGGTCAGGAGCCAGGCTCTGCAGTCCACCTGCTGGGCTTGAACCTGGATAGGCTTTGCTCTGAACTTGTTACTTGGTTTATGTGCCTAGTTATTCTGCCACAAAATGGGGATAATAACATTAAGTTGGAGTTTGGGGTTTGCTTAGTAGAAGAGTACTTAACTAACGAGAGAGAAAGGTCCTGTAACTGGTCCCTAGCACATGCACACATGCACATATACCCACTAAAAGCAGTAGCATTAAGCTGAGCACTATCAAACTGCTAGCACTTGTAAATCTGACTTAGAAAAACATGGCATATCAGTAGCTACAGTGGCAGATGCCTAGCTCCTAATAGCAGAGACAAGAGGATCAGTGCAGGCTCCAGGCCAGCCTGCAGTAACAGTTCTAAGGATGCACCTTGAAATAGAATTTTTTACTGATCAACTTCATTGTTAGAGAATTACTGTTTGGACAATCAACTTAATATTTGTAAACCTCAGAATGCAAGTATTTGCAGAGTTTGTGTTTGGGACTGTTTGTTTGTTTTATTTTTTTGTTTGAGATCGTCTTATTACATAGACCAGACTGATATCAAATTCACAGAGATCCAGCTGCCTCTTCCTTTCAAGTTCTGTGATTAAAGACATGCTTTGTTTTCATTTAATTTTATTATATTTTTTAAAGATTTAGTTATTTATTATGAACACAACACCCTGCCCCCATGTACATCTACACACCAGCAGAGGGCACCAGATCTCATTACAGATGGGAATTGAACTCATGACCTCTGGAAGAGCAGTCAGTGCTCTTAACCTCTGAGCCATCTCTCCAGCCCCTCATTTAATTTTATTTTTATGTGCATGGATGTTTTGCCGGTCTATATGTCTGTGCACCACTCTTATGACTTGTGCCCACAGAAAGCAGAAGTCACTGTCCCCTAGAATTGGAATTAGAGCAGTTTTGAGCACCATATGGATGCTGGCTGGAACTTGAACTCAGGTCCCTGGAAAATCTAGCCGTGCTCTTGACTGCTGAGCTGTCTCTCTGGTCTGCTTGCTTGTTTTTGAGACAGTCTCACATATCCCAGGTTGGTGTTGCATTCATTATGTGACCCGGGACATGATGTCCTGGAATTCCTAATCTTCCTGCCCTCATCTCCCAGATGTTGGAATATAGGCTTATGACATCATGCCCAGTTATAATTGTCATATGGAAGAAAATCATAACCAGAAGTATAGTCCATCTCAAGGACTTGGGAGTTGACAGGTGTGGGGCATATACTGAATATGGATTTGTACCAATGTGATCCCAAGTAAGCCAATATGTAATTACACTGCCAGCCTTCAGAGGGCCCTGCTAGGAGTCACAAAGACCATCTCTGTAAAGTGGCTGGCCTTGTCTTACAGGGCTGGTGGGAAACAGTGGGACAGAGAGGCCTGTGGCCACCTCATGGTACAGCTCAGCTCCAGCTGCCTGCTGCCATTTAGTACAAAGGCCTCTTTTTTTTCTTTTTTCTTCAAGTTTCTAATCAGGGTTTCTCTGTATTGCTTTGGAGGCTGTCCTGGAACTCGCTCTGTAGACCAGGCTGGCCTTGAACTCACAGAGATCCGCCTGCCTCTGCCTCCCGAGTGCTGGGATTAAAGGCGTGAGCTGCCAATGCCCGCTAGTACAAAGGCTTCTTTTTATTTGGGAGTGTGGGGGGTTTGAGACAGGGTTTCTTTGTGTAGCCCTGGCTGCCCTGGAAGTCGCTTTGTAGACCACGCTGACCTCAAAATCACTGAGATCGATCCTCTGGCCTCTGCCTCCTGAGTGCTGAAATTAAAGGCGTGCACAGCCACAGTCCTGCAATACAAAGACTTCTTGTTACCAGGGCTCTCTTGACTTTGTCAGGACAGGCTAGATACTTGGGTTTTAACATTTTATATAAATGGTATTAAATGTTCCAGTTTTGTAGCCTTCTCATTTCATTCTATTGTTAAAGACGAGGGCACAGGTAGTCCATTTGCTCTCAAACTCACTCTATAGCTGAGGCTGGCCTTTAGACCTCTGATCCCCCTGCCTCCACCTCCCAAGTGTTAAGATCACAGCTATGTATCTACAACTTTGCAGCCTCTGAACCTTAAGGTTTGGGTTTGGAATTTCTGTGCTTGGGTTAGAGCTTAAGACTTCATACAAACCAAACAAGAACCTGCTTTTGAGATTTGCCCTCAGGAACTTTTTTTTTCCTTCCCTGTCATAGAGTTTCTCTGTGTAGCCCTGGCTGGCCTGGAACTCACTCTGTAGACCAGATTGGCCTTGAACTCATAGAGATCTGCCTCTGTATACCGAGTACTAGGATTAAAGGTATGCACTGCCCCTCCCCAGCAGGAAAGAATTTTAAATCCTTTGAGAAGACACCATCTTCATACTGGTTGTCACTGAATTCTCCTGACTGACAATTCTTACTTCACAGGATGCTGACTGGGTCTGTGTCCAGCCCTCAAAGCATTCCATGATGCTTGAATGGCTGGGCCTTGGTGTGGGCACTTTTACCCAGAGTGCTTCTCCAGCAGGACCTGAGAGCACAGGTAAGAAGTTCATGTGGCCCAGTGCACCTTCAACGGGAGAACAGTGAAAGCGAGGCCCACATGACTCAAATACAATGCCAGTATATAACAAATCTGAGTCAGTCAGCAAAAGACTTAACAGGTGCACTACAAACTAAAGAATACTGTTGCTGAGTATGTACATGGATGTCTTTGTTAGGTCCTGGGGACTTAGGGCTGGGGCTATAGCTCAGTGAACTGCTTGCCTTGCATGCATAAAGCTGTGGGTTCTATCCTCAGTACTCTGGAAACTAGGCATGGTGGCACATGCCAGTAATCCCAGAACTTAGGAGATAGGTAGAAGCAAGAGGACCAGAAGTTCAAGATCATCTTTAACTATATAACAACTTCGCAGAGATAGGCGGATCTCTGTGAGTTCGAGACCAGCCTGGTCTACAGAGTGAGTTCCAGGACAGCCTCCAAAACAATACAGAGAAACCCTGTCTCGAAAAACAAACAAACAAAAAAAAAAAAACTATATAACAACTTCAACGCAGGCATGGTGAAACACACCTTTAACTGCAGCTCTAGGTAGGCAGAGGCAGACAAATCTTTGTGAGTTCAAAGCCAACCTAGTCTACATAGTGAGTTCTAGGACAGGCAGGGCTTTGAGAAACCCTATCTCAAAAAACCCAACTGTATAACAACTTCAAGGCCAGCTTGTCTGTGTAAGAACTTGTAAGAACACACATATGCACACCCTAATACTAAAAGTCAGTTTAAAAACCAGAGGACTGCCAGGCAATGGTGGTGTACGACTTTAATCCCAGCACTTGGGAGGCAAAGGCTGATGGATCTCTGAGTTCCAGGACAGTCGGGAGTGTTACACAGAAAAATCCTGTCTCAAAAAAGCAAAAAAAAAAAAAAACAGAGGACTTAACATATGGTCGTATGCAATAGTTCTGATCCCAGCCTTCGGGAATCAGAGGCCAACCTAGACTGTATAGCAAAATTGTCTTAAAGAAGAAACAAACACTGTGCAGAGTGAAAGGCTAGAGAGAGTTAAGACCATGGGTTGTTTTTGCAGAGGGTTCAGTACCTATGTGGCAGCTCACAAACATCTAGCCCTGGGGGAATCCAACCTCAACATCAGGCACTCTTGTGGTACACAGACATTATGCAGGCAAAACCCCATACATTAAAAATACATTTTCACGCCGGGCGTTGGTGGCGCACGCCTTTAATCCCAGCACTTGGGAGGCAGAGACAGGTGGATCTCTGTGAGCTCGAGGCCAGCCTGGTCTATAAGAGCTAGTTCCAGGACAGCCTCCAAAGCCACAGAGAAACCCTGTCTCGAAAAACCAAAAAAAAAAAAAAAATACATTTTCACACTTACATTTCATTTGTACTTGTACATACCCTCATTTGTATATTTGATAGAGTAAAGCCTTTCTTTCTTCGGTTTTTTGTTTGTTTGTTTGTTTGTTTCTTTGTTTGTTTAGTTGGTTGGTTGGTTTTGGTTTTTTAAGACAGGGTTTCTCTGTGTAGCTTTGGAACCTATCCTGGAACTCGCTCTGTAGACCAGGCTGGCCCCGAACTCACAGAGATCTGCCTGCCTCTGCCTCTGCCTCCCAAATACTGGGATTAAAGGCATGTGCCCCAACACAAGATGGAGTAAAACCTTTCTTTTGGGGGCGGTTCGAGACAGGGTTTCTCTGTGGCTTTTGGAGACTGTCCTGGAAGTAGCTCATGTAGACCAGGTTTGTCTCAAACTCAGAGATCCTCCTGCCTCTGCCTCCTGAGTGCTGGGATTAAAGACATGCTGCATCACCACCAGTCAAGTAAAACCTTTCTTTCTTTCTTTCTTTCTTTCTTTCTTTCTTTCTTTCTTTCTTTCTTTCTTTTTTTTTGAGACAGGGTTTCTCTGTGGCTTTGGAGGCTGTCCTGGAACTAGCTCTTGTAGACCAGGCTGGCCTCGAACTCACAGAGATCCGCCTACCTCTGCCTCCCAAGTGCTGGGACTAAAGGCATGCGCCACCAACGCCCGGCTTTTTTTTTTTTTTTCAAGATTTATTTATTTATTTATTATGTATACAGAGTTCTGCCTGCATGTATCCCTGCAGGCCGGAAGAGGGCACCAGATGTCATTACAGATGGTTGTGAGCCACCATGTGGTTGCTGGGACCTCTGGAAGAGCAGTCGGTGCTCTTAACCTCTGAGCCATCTCTCCAGCCCAAGTAAAACCTTTCTTAAAAGACACTTTTGCCTGGTCCTGGTGGCACACACCTTTAATTCCAACACTCCGGAGGCAGAGGCAGGCCGTTCTCTGACAGTTTGAGGACTGCTTGATCTTCATATCGAGTTCCAGGATTACACAGTGAGATTGTCTCCAAAAAGAAAAAAAGGCCTTCTTCTGTATGATTTTTCAACTATCCTGAAGTGTAACAAACAAACATACAGAAAGTGCTCAGCCTTGGTCCCTGGCACTCCTCTCGCTTCCCTTAGTAGAACTGCTTGTTGCCGTAAAACTGTCTTGTGCGTGAGTTCTTAAAGGTGCCTGTGTCCCACCTGCTTCCTCTCTTAGCCCAGGCAGAAGGAGAAGAGGAGGAGGAAGGGGAAGAGGAGGGTTCCCTGATAGAGATTGCAGAGGAAGCCGACCTGATTCAAGCAGACCGAGTGATTGAAGAGGAAGAGGTGGTGAGACCCCGGCGAAGAAAGAAGGAAGAGAATGCAGTGGACCAGGAGCTGGCTAAAATGCTTTTGGCCATGAGACTAGACCAATATGGGCCTGTAACTACAGCTGGACAGGAGCAAGCTACGGAAGAGTGGGAGGTAAACTCACTTGTTTCCCTAAGGCCCAGAATGGGGAAGAGGATTCAGGTTTACCAAGCAGACTTGGGTTAGGTTCTGTAAACAGGCACTGGAGTGTCGGGACAACTTCTGACTATTGTTACTGCTGTTACTACTGTCACTTCACTTCGTCCTCCCTGCTGTCTGGTGAGCCATCTTGCACCTAACCTAAGGGTAGAAAAGCCATGGTCAGAAGGGCCCTGCAAGAACTAGCAACTTAAGACAGAAGCAGGTGTCGGGTGCTTCTCTGACGTTTTCAGAAAAATGTGGCACATGGCGTCCACCACACCACATAGTGTCAATGCTTCATTCTTTCACCTACCTTCTCAGCCATGTTGTCTTTGAGCAGCCAGTGCAGATGGAGAGGATGAAGGTCAAACAGAGAAGCAGGCTTCCTCCTTCAGTCACCCTAGAATAGAGCAAGGGTGGTGTATGAGTCTTGTGTCAGCTTTCCTCAGCTTTTCATCAAGCATTTACTATGTGTGACTATGACACAACAAGACTGGCTACTCCAAACACCAATTGAAACCTTACTGAGAGTGACAGTCTCTGAAGGACAGTGTGGATGCAGTAGTTTTCACCTGATGCCCTGTGCCTTACTGGATCAGGTCAACAGCATTGCCTGGGGCAGAGGCATGAGCCCACTTCTCAGAACTCTGTTTTGGGCTTGTCTCTGTTGTGTCACTTGGGGGTGGGGCTTTAGTGTGGTGATGTCTGTTCCACACACCAGTCTTCATAAAAATCTTGTAACCCGAATGACAGATCCAGAAGGGAGTGCTTTCTCTTAAGATACTGTGAGTGCATTGGACCGCTGTAGGCAGCTGATGGCTCCTAGACAACATTCACCAAGAGCCCAGCCCCCCCTGATGACACACCACTTTAGAGAGAGAGACAGATGAAGTCAAAGCAAGTGCAGACAGGAGTGGCAGGGGAAGGGAAAGATGGGGCACGGCACAAACACCCCTGTTAGAAAATGGTGGGGTGGTATCTGAGACATGGTGTGTGATTTTAAAAGGTAAAGCATAAGATGGCCAGTGACAGCCATTGCCAGTGGAGGACCTTCCCAGGGTTCCTTATATTTCCAGGCCAACAGCCAGCACCCTAGGTCACACACACTGCTTGAGAAGAGACAAGATAGGCTGGGGGCCCAGGCAGGTTCTAGAGTCTTCGTTCAGCTTCCATGGTGGAGCAGCTGTGGAAAAAGCGAGACAAAGTCAGTGGGGGTGGTGACTCCTTTGCTTCTGTGCTGGGGCCTCTGCTCACAGTCTCTGCCTGGTGTTGGTGTCCACAGATCCAGCACAACCAGAGGAGGAAGATGAAGAGGAAAGTGAAGGTCGAGCTTCTCAAACTGAACACCATGACTGAAGCGGAGGCCAGTGCGATCCAGGACATCTGGCAGCTGGACCTGAGTACCCGCTGGCAGCTGTATAGGTGCGGCTACAGTGCCCAAGCCTAACGGTCTGCGTCATTTCCCAGTTTCTTCTCTGTCCCCAGAAAGGGGAGTGGGTCAGATTGGGCAGGACCTCACACATGAAGGGAGAAGCAGAAAGCCACTGGAAGCTTTGACAGCAGAGCTGTGTCTCCGTGCCCTGTGCCCACACTTCCACACTTCCTCCTACCTCCTGATGACTTGGGACAACTTTTATGGGGGCATTTAGACTCCTCTTGGTTTGCTTGTTTGTTTTTAGGTTGGTGGGTGGTTTTGGTTTGGGCTTTTTTGTTGTTGTTGGTGGTGGTGGTGTTTTGTTTTATTTATTTATTTTTTTTTTGAGACAGAGTTTCACTGTATAGCTCTGGCTGTCCTAGAACTCACAGAGATCTGCCTGCTTCTGCCTCTGCTTCCCAAGTGCTGGGATTAAAGGCATACACCACTACAGCTCAGCCTTTTTAGACTTCTTTTCTGTAATTCTGGGTCTCTCATTCTCCCTATCTAGCCTGTCAACTCTGTAGGGCTTTAAGATTCACTTCAGAAACGGGCCCATCATTTACTCAAAAGACACTTAAAAAGAAAAGCTTCCTTTCTCTGGTTCTTCCTTCTCCAGGCTGTGGCTACAGATGTACCAAGCTGACACTTGGCGGAAGATCCTCAGCTATGAACGCCAGTACCGCACATCAGCAGAAAGAATGGCTGAGCTGAGACTTCAGGAAGACCTGCACATCCTTAAAGATGCCCAGATTGTGGGCATGACAACCACAGGTAGGAAGGTAGGGGATTTACCTGTTCAGGCCAAGTTCACCTTGGTGTTGCAAGCCACCCTTATCTTGGGAACTCTTGGTGATGCTTTCCTACTTGTTTCTGTAGAGGTTAAAACTCAAAACAATAACCAACAAGCATAAAGCTCAGGACTACCCAGTGCCCTTGGTGCCCACCCTCTCACTCAGGGCCCACCCTCTCGCTCAGTAGCCACTCTAGCCCCAGATGAGCAGGAAAACATAGTTGTTTATCAGCCCAAGAAAGGTTACAAGAGGTAGCCGTTTGGGTTTTGTGCCCCAGCTAAAGGAGCCTCTCCCATCTTTCCTGATTTGAGGTGCTGCCAAATACCGCCAGATCCTTCAGCAGGTGGAGCCTCGTATCGTCATTGTAGAAGAGGCTGCTGAGGTTCTTGAGGCCCACACCATTGCCACGCTAAGCAAAGCTTGCCAGCATCTCATTCTGATTGGGGATCACCAGCAGGTAAAGCAAGAATTCCTAGATGATGGGGTGCTCTCTGGAAAATAGGGCAGACAAGATCCTTGCCTCTCTATTTAATAGTCCTCAAGCTTGTTGGTGACTTCTTGTGCTTGTCTTCCTTGAATCCCATTTTCTTTTCCTCTCCAGTGCCACCACTAGAGATTGCACCCAGGTCCACACAGGCTAGGCAAGGCATTCTATCCTCTCAAACCATACAGACTAGGTTGGCCTCAAACTGCTGGGATCATAGAACTGTTTTTGCTTAGTTCAAGCTGATCATGCCTTCACATAACAGTGTCTTTTTTTAATGTGTGTGGCAGGTGGTGTTTGTGTTTCTCTTGCACACTTGCCACCTACAGTGCCTGTAGAGGCGAGAAGAGAGTGACGATACCCTTAGACTGGAGTTAGTTAGTTGTGAGCTGCTGCCTGGGTTCTAGGAATTGATGGCACAGGGCCATCTTCCCAGCCTTCACCAGGGACAATTGCATAGAAAGTTCTTTAGTCTCATACTTCCATTTTTGCTACCTGCTGATCTGTCCCCTGAAAAGGAGCCAAAGTGAATTAAAAACAAAAACAAACAAACAAACAAAAACAACAAAAAGTAATTCAGCCAGGTATGGCCAGTTTATGTTACATACCAAGACACCTGCCTCAAGTGAACCAAAACCTCAAAATCACAGTAAAGGAGAGCATGCTACTCTTAATGCCCTCATGGGCACACAGCTCTTGATGTCAGAAGTCAAGCTCCTTTGGTTTTGAGATGGTCTCATGGAGCCCAGGCTAGCCTTGAATTCGATATTTAGCTGCAGGTGCTTTTATACCCCATGACGTGTGGGATTACAGAGACACACACAACCATACCCAGCCTAGTAGCTGCTGCAAAGCAAGACCGTCTCATAAACAAGAGTGGGCTTTGTCCTGTGTCTGGCTCTCTTCACTTGCTCAGAGCTCCTATTCACTGTCCTTTCTGTCCCTTTCATGGCTTGCTTTTCAAATGACTGTATGACTGGAGGCTTCCTCCATGTTGTCAACTCAGTGTCAGTGTTCAGAGGCCTAGCTAAAGAATTCCCACCCTTTGGACTCTCCGATACATCATCTTGGATTCTTCACAGTCCTTGTCACTATCAATCCTTAAGCTGTCAGCACCTAGACTAATACCCACCTTTCAACACCAGGTGCTTAAAACCCATGCTGCTGGGTGATCGATGTGTTCCAGCAGAGAATTCTCAGCCGTGTTTCTCTCCCCAGCTGCGTCCCAGCGCTAACGTGTATGATCTGGCCAAGAACTTTAACCTTGAGGTGTCCCTGTTTGAGCGGCTGGTAAAAGTGAACATCCCCTTTGTCCGTCTGAATCACCAGGTGAGTGACTGGGCTTGTGTTGCTACACACATCTAGAAGGTTCCTGGGTGTGTGCCACATGCCAGCAGTTAGAGCTGGCTTACCTGAAGTAGCCCACCAGAAATACTGTTTCAACCACTGCAAGGTCCCTGATTTGTGGGACCAAGCCATTTGTATCATGCTTTCTCCCAGCTACTCTTGGGCAGCACCCTGTACGATCCCTGCCAGTACTATAGCCTCCAGAGAAACGGCCCTTTGTTTTGCTCTTGTTGCTAACAACACCTGTTGTTTCAGCACCGCATGCGGCCTGAAATTGCCCGCCTTTTGACCCCCCACATTTACCAGGATCTGGAGAACCATCCCTCTGTTCTCAAGTATGAGCAGATTAAGGTCAGTCTGTCCTACCTGGTTGTCCCCGATGGTGTGTGCAGCCTAGGAGGTTTCCTTTCCTTGGGAGGAAAAAAGGCTTTTGAAAGTAGTAGAGGTGCTGGAGAGATGGCTCAGTGTTTGTGAGTGTGTACTGAAGCCGGTGTGGTGGTGCACACCTTCAATCCCAGCACTCGGGAGACAGAGGCAGGTGGACCTCTGATTTTGAGGACAGCAAGAGTTACATAACAGACTCTGTCTAAGAAAAGGGTGTGTATTGCTTTTTTATAGGATCCATGTTCAGTTCCCAGCACCCACACTGGGGACCTCACAACTGCCTCCAATTTCAGTCCCAGAGGATCCAACACTCTGCATCTTCTGTTCTTCATGGACACCCACAGTCAGGTGCACATACACACACACACACACACACACACACACACACACACACACATACACTCACACACACACACGAAAAATTAAAATAGAATCTGAGTTGGGTGGTGGTAGTGCACATCTTTTTTTTTTTTTTTTTTTTTTTTTTGGTTTTTCGAGACAGTGTTTCTCTGTATTATCTTGGAAGCTGTCCTGGAACTCGCTTTGTAGACCTCGAACTCACAGAGATCCACCTGCCTCTGCCTCCCGAGTGCTGGGATTAAAGGTGTGTGCCACCAACGCCCGGCGGTGGTACACATCTTAAATCCCAGAACTCAGGAGGCAGAGGCAGGCCAATTTCTGAGTTTGAGGTCAGCCTGGTCTACAAAGCATGTTCCAGGACAGTCAGAGCTATTATACAGAGAAACCCTGTCTCAGAAAACATATACATACATACATACACACACACACATTTTTTTTCTGTAAAGAAAAGAAGGGGTGCCTGGCATTGGTGGCACACGCCTTTAATCCCAGCACTCAGGAGGCAGAGGCAGGCGGATCTCAACTTATGACTACTGAGCCTTAGGGAGAGACGGAACAGAAACAGGATCTTGACCTGGTTTAAAATCTCTCTTTTGTACTTGGTAGCTTTGTGAACCTGAGCGAGTCAGGCAAGAGGTTCAGCTGTCATGGTGTTGTGTGTGGTTAGAATGGCAGCTAGGGCCTTTGTGAGTCAGCACTGTGGAGCACTCGGCATATCAGCTGCTTCCTCATCACAGCTACTGCCTGCTGCCTTGGCCATGGCAGGTGATCAGATACGTGAAAAACTAAAATAGGCTTACTTATTTCTCTAGCTCTGTGCCATGGCCTAAGATAAAGCACATGGTGACTAACTTCAGAAGTAAAGTGAGGTGGAGGGCACAGAAAGCAGTCTCTACCTGAGGGCCAGTGCTCAGTGTTCAGAGACAAGCAAAAGCAGTGTCAGGAGCTGGGTGTAGCTCGGGTACAGCAAGCACCTGGTTAGCATGTGTGAGGCCCTGGGTTCAGTTCAGTGCTGACGGGAGGGGGAAGCATCACAAGGGCCGCTCTGACATGTCACCTTGCTTTTCAGGGGGTCTCCTCCAACCTTTTCTTTGTAGAGCACAACTTTCCTGAACAGGATATCCAAGAAGGCAAAAGCCACCAGAACCAGCATGAGGCACACTTTGTGGTGGAGCTGTGCCAGTACTTCCTGTGCCAGGAGTACCTGCCCTCCCAGATCACCATCCTCACCACCTACACTGGGCAGCTCTTCTGCTTGCGCAAACTCATGCCTGCCAAGACATTCGCTGGCATCAAGGTCCATGTGGTGGACAAGTACCAAGGGGAAGAGAATGACATCATCCTCCTCTCGCTAGTGCGGAGCAACCCAGAGGGCAAGGTGGGCTTCCTCCAGATCCCCAACCGCATCTGCGTAGCCTTGTCCCGGGCCAAGAAGGGGATGTACTGCATTGGGAACATGCAGATGCTTGCCAGGGTGCCCTTGTGGAGCAAGATCATCCACACCCTTCGAGAGAACAACCAGATAGGCTCATCCCTCCGCCTCTGTTGCCAGAACCACCCTGACACCCACACCCTGGTCTCCAAGGCTTCTGATTTCCAAAAGGTGCCAGAAGGAGGCTGCAGCCTGCCCTGTGAGTTCCGGTTGGCCTGTGGGCATGTGTGCACACGTGCCTGCCACCCATATGACTCCTCCCACAGAGAGTTCCAGTGTATGAAGCCATGCCAGAAAGTCATCTGCCCAGATGGGCACCGGTGCCCACTAGTTTGCTTCCAGGAGTGTCAGTCTTGTCAGGTCAAAGTGCCCAAAATCGTTCTTCGGTGTGGTCACCAACAGATGGTCCCTTGTTCAGTGCCAGAATCAGATTTTTGTTGCCAGGAGCCTTGCCCCAAGGTACTAAGATGTGGCCACAGGTGCAGCAACCTGTGTGGTGAGGACTGTGTGCGACTATGTTCAGAAAAGGTCACTGTGAAACTTAAGTGCGGGCACAGTCAACAGGTGAAGTGTGGCAATGTAGAAGATGTAAAATACGGTCTGTCAGTCAAGTGCACTACCAAGTGTGACACCATCCTAGACTGTGGCCACCCTTGCCCAGGCTCCTGTCACAGCTGCTTTGAAGGGCGCTTCCATGAGCGCTGTCAACAGCCCTGCAAGCGCCTGCTCATCTGCTCACACAAGTGCCAGGAGCCCTGCATTGGTAAGTGCCCACCCTGCCAGCGGACATGCCAGAACCGCTGTGTCCACAGTCAGTGCAAGAAGAAGTGTGGGGAGCTGTGCAGCCCCTGCGTGGAGCCCTGTGTCTGGCGCTGCCAGCACTACCAGTGCACCAAACTCTGCTCAGAGCCCTGCAACCGGCCCCCGTGCTACGTGCCTTGTACTAAGCTGCTGGCTTGCGGCCACCCTTGCATTGGTCTCTGTGGGGAGCCATGTCCCAAGAAGTGCCGTGTCTGCCAACTGGATGAGGTCACCCAAATCTTTTTTGGCTTTGAGGATGAGCCTGATGCTCGCTTTGTGCAACTGGAAGAATGTAGCCATATCTTCGAGGTGCAAGCCCTGGACCGCTACATGAATGAACAGAAGGATGACGAAGTTGCCATCAGACTGAAAGTGTGCCCCATCTGCCAGGTACCCATCCGCAAAAACCTGAGGTATGGAACCAGCATCAAGCAGCGGCTGGAAGAGATAGAAATTGTCAAGGAAAAGATCCAGGGCTCTTCACGGGAGATTGCAGCCAGCCAGGAACAACTTAAGGCCCTGCTGAAGAGCAAGGCTCTCTTTTTCCAGGTGCGCCCTGAAGAATTCCTGATGCTTGAAGAGAAACTGGCCCAGAAAAACCTGTCAGTGAAGGACCTGGGGCTTGTGGAGAACTCCATCAGCTTCTACGACCACTTGGCCAACCTGGAAGGGTCCCTGAAAAAGGTGCATTACTTAGAACGTCAGAGAGTGAGGACTCGACTCGAACAGGTCTATGAATGGCTGGCCAAGAAGCGCCTCAGCTTCAGCAGCCAGGAATTGAGTGACCTCCAGAGTGAAATCCAGAGGCTCACCTATCTTGTGAACCTCCTAATGCGCTGCAAGATGGCAAAGGAGAAGGTGAAAGGCAGCGTAGCAGAAGAGGTCTCCAGCATCCGGAATATTCTCGAAAAAACATGTAAGTTCACCCAGGAAGACGAACAGCTTGTGCAGAAAAAGATGGATGCTCTGAAAACTACCCTTCCTTGCTCTGGTCTGGGTATCTCAGAGGAAGAACGAGTGCAGATTGTCACCGCCTTGGGTGTTCCTCGTGGCCATTGGTTCAAGTGCCCCAACGGCCACATCTATGTGATCACTGAGTGTGGGGGAGCCATGCAGAGAGGCACCTGTCCTGAGTGCCAGGAGGTGATTGGCGGTGAAAATCATACTCTAGAGAGGAGCAACCAGCTGGCCCCCGAGATGGATGGAGCCCAGCACCCTGCCTGGTCAGACACAGCCAACAATCTGATGAACTTCGAGGAGATCCACAGGATGATATAAAAGATGGCACCTCGAGGCCTTTTACCCTGCCACCTCAGAGCCAGGGTTGGCTCCCCTGCAGAGGAACCACTTTATTAGTGTCCTTTAATCTTCACGCTTGTCTAAGGATCCACTTTTAGGGCTTGCCCACGTGACTCTAGATGTGCCCCTGCGCTAGAATAAGCACTTTACCTCCAGCACTGAACAGAGCCCACAGTTCTCACCTCCTCTCCCACAGCAAGTGGGGCTCCTGGGAGCATCTAGCCTCCACCTGGGGCTATTAGGGTAACTGGGCCCTGGCATGGTTAGCACTTGTGCGTGCTCCCAGGGTGCACTGCTTCTCATAGCCAGGCCCTAACTTGCAGACTAACTTCTACTGTAATGACAGCGACCCAGAGCTTTAGGAACCATGTGCCCAAGGAGCATAAGAACCCAGCACCCTACTCCTTGGCTCATGCCCTCCTGGAGAAGGCCTGTGACAGACACTTCACCAAGGCCCCTTGACCCAGTTACATAGTTACCATCACTAGCAAGGTCCCATGGGTAGGGCTTCCACAGCAGGCACAGGTTGAGTGACTCCTGCACCCTCCTGAAACTTGCACTCAAATAGCAAGGCTGGGGGTTGGGGTCGGTCTCTACCTCTGTAGGAGGGTTCAGTGGCGGTGCTGTCGGCATTCAGTGTCCCAGCACCTCCCTCTCAGCCTTTGCCTGGACAGGGTCAGCGTGCCAGCAGCCTCTGCAGACCCACAGCCTGTGTCTGCAGTTCTGTCCAGTGTTCCTTAGAACAGACTAAGGCATCTCAGGTCCTTTCTAATGTTGGCCAGAAAAGCCCCTTTCTTATGTATGCATTTTTTTTGTCTTTACTATGCACTTTAGCCTATAAAGCCAATTAATAAAAACAATGATTAAAAAGAAATGTATAGACTCTATGTTACTGTATTGATAACTGATGAATGCAGGGCTTCAGTTATATTCCACCACCACCCCAGCTGCTTGTCTATATTCCTAACTTTCAGTAACAACTTAGGTGGCCACAGAATTGTGGGTAGGGTACTGTCTACGGTGAGGCATGTACCATATTTTGCAGTGTGGGGTCATTTAGCTGGTGAGCCAAATCTTACCCATAGTAAGACATTCTTCATCCTACAGAAATGTCTCATGAGTCCCCTGAGACAACCTAATACCAGTGCATATTCCTAGTAAGAGCTCAGGACTTGGCTCTTTGGAACACATTTACTTGTTGTTTGTGGTTGGGTGGCTGCATGTGTGGAGATCAGAGGAAGGAGTGTGGGTCCCCAGCTCAGGGCATCAGTCTTCCTTTACTGACTGAACCTTCTCACTTGTCTCCTGCACCGGGCTTTTAATATGGGGGTTTTTCTTCCAAAGGCATAGTCTAGTTTGAACCACAGCCTAGCACCAGGAGAACTTTTGATTTTCTAAATAGAACCTGATGTTGACAAGTGTGAGTGAACTCAAGTGTTTCTAAACAGACTTAAGTCCAGGGTATGTGTGGCTGGAGAACTGGTTGTTTCCAAACTGAGGGGAGGGAGTTTGAACTCAAAATTGACTTCTTGTGTTTGATATATCAAAGGAAAGCTGATCAGGAAGGGAGCCATTAACTCTGGTGGTGCACTCCTTTAATTCCAGCACTCGGGAGGCAGAGGCAGGAGGATCTCTGAGTTCGGGCCAGCCTAGTCTACAGAGCAAGTTCCAGGACAGGCTCCAAAGCAATACAGAGAAACCCTGTCTTGGGGGGGGGGGGGGGGAAAGGAGCCATGAGTGAGATAATAAGAAACAGCTTCTATCTCAAAAAACTAAAACCAAAACAAAACAGCCCCTAGACACACAAACTCTCCCAACATCATCTTGAAAAAAACAAAACAGCAACAGATATACAAATAGCAGGCTTGTTCAAGAGATTTTGTTGTTACTGTTTTACAAATGGAAAAAAACAGACCAAGACAAGATGACTTCCCACAGGGAAGGGATATAAAATTGTCCCATCAACTTCTTCACACCACTGGGTTACTTCTTTCTCTTATACCTATTAAGAAAATCAACACAATTAAAGCCAGAAGGGAGGAACAGTGCTGCCTCCCAAGACAGCTCGCTTCTTCAGCCCCAGGGTACCGACCGCCTCTGCCCTCCACAGCGCAACATCACCTGGACTTAGATTTGAAGTTCCCTCTTCTCTGGCGGGACAGACCTAACTGTTTCCTCTCTTCAAAGGAAGGGCTGTAAGAGATGAAATGTGAGATGGGGAGGCTGCGGGACACGTCAATGATGCACCCCATCTTGACTTCACAAAAAGGGCGGCATCGGTGGGATGGGTATAGCCATGTGAGTTTCAGTGCCTGAGAGCCAGGCTCCTGTGGGATTTTACAAAACAACACACGTTTCGGGAAGCCAGCTTTAAGATCAGCAGGAAGAGGCCTTTCCCAACCAGCCTAGACAGATGTCTAGATGAGGGAATTTATACAAGGAACAGACAACACCTCTCCTGCTCTTGCACATCAGGCCCTCGGGGTACAGAGTGTCCTAAGTCACAGCATTATGAAACCCTAGTTAAGAGAGTTGGGAGTGGGGGGGAGGGCACGGGAGGAGGGGAGGGAAAGGGAGAGGGACCTGGAACTGACTTGTGAAGCAACCTTGTTTCTTATCTAAATTTTTAAAAAAAGAATAAAAAAAAATACAAAAGGAAAAAAAAACAAAAAGAAAGTTGGGAGTGGGCAAGGATGCAGACACCTCAGTTTCTAGCACACCAAGGGCTGAGGAGCACTTAAAATCCTACCCAGCTCGGTACTGTTTCAGGGCCTTTTTGCTTGTGTTGGTGAGTTCTTCATCAAACACAGACTTCTTCTGCTGCTGCTTCTGCTGTTTGGCTGCAGAGAAACATGGGTCGGAGGGAGTTGGTAAGTCCTTTGAAGGTCTACGTGAGGATTCCAAAGCCAGTATACACTGGTGCATGCCACTTCCTCCAAACCTTGGCCACCGCCATCCCCACCAACTCCTGCCATGGTTCGGGTGTCAGGGCGAACTCATCTCTTACCACGGCCTGCTGCAGGCTCTTCCTCCGGCATTGCCCGTGCTCGCTTGGTTCTGCGGTTCCTCTTGGCCAGCCGCTCTGCAAACATCTGTGCCTTGAGGATTTCAAACTGGGACCGCTCCTCTGCCTGGGGGCACAGTGAGGGATGAGCACAGAACAGACCAGTGTTCCATGGGACCCAACTCCAGAGGGAGGCTACTCACTGTCATCTCTCCCTTCTTCTTGGCATCCTTCATAAACTTCTTTCTTTTCTTCTTTCCTCTTAAGGCCAAGTCAAACTCCTGCAGAGCCTTGGCAACTGGAGTGAGAACAGAGCATGGGTTTCAGGGATCGTTTCGTTATGCCTTTAAAGCTTAAGATGAAAAGTAACTAGTGGGGAGTGATATTCGCTTAGAAAAGTGCCTATCAGGTAAGAATGGGGGCCCAGGGAAAGGGAATCACATTCCTCAGTGATATAGCCACTGGCAAGTTGCCCCCATTCAAGGGAATAACCCCCATCCATGTTCTTGCCAGTGACCTAATTAAATGCAGCAGCCATGAAAAGCAGACTTCAAAGCAGGAGGGGACTTGCTGGAAAGAGGCTCAGTGCAGAGGGGAAGGGACAGCAGTGGAGGTGTGATCCAAATATACTAATACACAATGAAACTGACAAAGACACATTGTTAAGAGTAAGATCTGGCCCGGCATTGGTGGTGCACTCCTTTAATCCCAGCACTCGGGAGGCCGAGGCAGGCAGATCTCTGAGTTCGAGGCCAGCCTGGTCTACAGAGTGAGTTCCAGGATAGCCTCCAAAACAATACGGAAACCCTGTCTAAAAAAACAAAACAGCCTGGACTACCAAGCGAGTTCCAGGCTCCAAAGCCACAGAGAAACCCTGTCTCAAAAAACCAAAACAAAACAAAACAAAAAACCTTTCAATAGTCATTAAGAGAGAAAAGTTAAATTATAATCTACTCATGATAAAGACGCATGCTTCCATTTTTTAAAGCTGTGAGATGGGTTTAGCGACTCAGACTCAGGTCCTTAGGCCTGCACGGCAAGCATGTCCCACTAATGCTCACTTACTCTTCTCTTTCTTCCTCTCTTCTTTGGTCTGGAACCAGCTCCTCTCAGGCTCCTGGTCTGCTGTCTCCTTCCCCTTCTCCAAGAGCCGCTTTGCTGTGTCTATCTGTGGGGTTGGCACAGCACACATGGGTGGAGCTGCAGCAGCCACTGCCAGGTGAGCAATGCAGCTACCACTGAGCAGCGGGGGTGGGGACAGCCACACAGCCTCACCTGGGCCTCTGACTGCTGCATCTCTTTTTCTTCCGCCTCCAGCTGCAGCACAGCATACACATCTTTCTCCATTTTCTCAATCTTGTCCCGAAATTTGAGGATAACATCTTACAGGAAACAAATAAAGAGTAAAACCGAGAGTAACTACGAGGCAGCTAGTAAAATAACGCAGACACCTACTTAGGGACACAGAGCTTCCTTCCTGAATACCTCCCTGTGGTCCCGGCCTACAGCCCTCATTACTCAGAAGGCGGAGATCTGCTTGGGCCCAGGAGTCTGGGGCCAGCCTGAACACAACACACCCAGAACTCATCTCAAAAGTGAACAAACAAGGCCCGGGGAGATGCCACACAAGGATGAAGACACAAGTTCAAATCTCCAGGACTCACATAAAACTAGGCAAAGGCACACATCTGTGATCCCAGTTGCTCCTATAGCCAGATGGGAAGTAAAAACAGTCACTAGAAGGTCAAAGGCCAGCTAGTGTTAGATAAGGTAGAAAGTGAGGACCAAGAACCGAGGTTGTCCTCTGACTTCTGGGAATGCAGCAAGACACACACATGTGCCCCCCCCCCACACACAAAAAGATTAAAACCACAACAACAAAAAAATCCTGTAACCTCCCCCCCCCATGGCTTCCTGTTGCTCTTAGAATGAATTCTGCTGTTTTAGAGCGGCCCTGTGCCCTGGTTCCCTGACTTCCCTTCCTTCATCCACACACCAATTCATTCCTGCCCAGACCTGCTGCTCGTGCTCAATCACAGTCAGTCCTTAGGGGCTGGCTCATTGGCCCCTTACTTGTCACCCAGGACTCGGCTCAAAGACAGCTGCTCAGCAGCCTTTGCAAAACAGCTGTTTTGTTTTATAAACACAATATCATGTAATCTAGGCTGGCCTCTTAATTGCTGTGTTGCTGAGAATAGTTTTCTTTTTTTTTTTTTTATTTTTCAAGGCAGGGTTTCTCTGTGTAACAGCTCTGGCTGTCCTGGAACTCGCTCTCTAGACCAGGCTGGCCTTAAACTCAATGAGCTCTCCCTGCCTCTGCCACCCGAGTGCTGGGATTAAAAGCATGCTCCACCACCACCACCACCCATCGAGAACAGCTTTGAACTCCTAATCTTCTGCCTGCAACTCCCAAGTACTGGGGATACAGGCATCAACTCCACACCCAGCTCTGAGCAGCTTTTCTGAACTGGCTCCTCCCCGTCACTCTCAGTGGCATTGACTATTAACTCACTGACTCTCACTCAGATCAGCTGTTCTGTTCCTTGCTCAATCCCCGGCTCCTGGGACAGCACTGAGACTGAGCACACAGCAGGAGCCATTCCCTGACTAACAACCTAAAGTAAAAGCGGAGGAGCGCTGGCTGTTCTTCAGAGACGGGGGTTGGTTCACAGCACCCACATGTGGCCCACAATCATCTGTATCTCCAGTTCTAGATGATCTGATGCCCTCTTCTGGTCTCCAAGAACAGCATAGCATCATACAGTCAGAAGACCCATACACATAAAATAAAAACAAACAGACTCTCAAAACAAATTAAAAAGCAACTAGACTCCAAAGCCACAGAGAAACCGTCTCGAAAAACCAAAAAA